AAGGTGGCTTAGGGCATCAATTGATGTCACTGCAGTGCCTCTGATCGGGAAGACCTACGGTTCTAGTCCAAAGGTGACAAGATTTTCGACACTAGCATCATACTCGTAGCTAGGTCGAATTCAGCCGCTGCCTGGAGAAGAATTCTAGCTTGTCCCCGTTGGAGTGGTGACCTTGTGGGAGAGCCCTAGTTAAGGGGAACCTGGCAAGCTAGGTCGCCGTCTCCTCACGCGATAAACACGTGCACTATACTTACGGGAATAATAGCCTTAGGAGTTGACGCATTCGGAATCACTAATAAATCAATTAATCAGTTCTTTGAAACGTGTTTAATGTAAATGGTTTGTGACATTTTAGTTAGACCTGAAATGAGTTGAAATAAATTTACAAGAAATAATTGATAATGAACATATCTTGTTGCCTAAAAAGTGACACTATCCCATTCAATAAAAACATATAAAATAGCAAATATAGAAATTTTAAAAATGAACTTCTTCAATAACAATATCCCGATTATTTATCTGTGCGAGTTTTGTTTATTTATATTTTTATTAACTAAATTGTGTCTAGTACATGTCATCACGAAATAATAAAGCTCATATCTTTTAACAAAAATCTTAATTTTACTACTTTGCTAACATCATTAATATAAAATCATATTTTTAAATGTGTTTTTTATCTTAAAAAATAAAAATACATTCTAGAAAGTAAAAAGTTAAAATAGTAAGTGATGAATCTCATAAAACTAGAAAACCGGAATGAAATTACCAGTTCCTAAGTTGAACCAGCAAAAGTGGAAAATAAAGTTTTGGAAGAAGTCCAGAGTAGAGTGGGGTGGTTTGGTTATCCTTTTTTCTGTTTACACCAACAGAGAATAATAGATAACAGCTAGTTTTTTTTTAATCAACAGTAGCCGAGTTTTTAAAGAGCAATATTCCAGCTAAATGCGATTTATTACTTCCTGTATATATTATTTTGCGATATTGGAAAGCAAGTTGCATTGGCTTTTAAAGTCTCTTTATATGCGCAACATAAATAAGAAAAATATTGTTCGTTTGTTGAAAATGTGTTCGTTTCGCAAATTTTCGAATGATGAGCGAAGTGAATGAGAGAACATCGACAAATGAAACGACTTTTTGTAATTTATCAATTGCAGAAAATTACCTGGATTTTGAAATGTCTTACGACAGAATTAATTTCATTGCTTGGCTTCATTACTTTGCCAATTTACATTACAACTACGCAGGAAGAGGCCATTTCTTTTGATATCGAATGGTACAGACATAAAAGTAGTAGATTTAAGAATAACTCACTAGCTTAACTTAAACACAACTGATTCAATGGAACTTCAAGAACTGCCATTAACAGAAAAATTGATATTGATGGAGAGAAATTCTAAATAGTCTTGAAAAGCATTTCAGTGTGCTACGTGGGAATGAAATGCAGCGTGGAATCCTTAAATTAAGGTTAAAGATTTTTTGACATTTTAGACAATGCCTGGGACGAATTGTTTGATGACGGAGAAAGAGGTGAAGATGTGGTTTGAATGTCGATGTACCAATAGTGTAAGAGGGGTAGGAGATGACCTGGCGCGAACCCCCTTTGTCCACCTCATTCCACACGGATTGATTGGAATTTGAACACTGCTACCCGAATGTGGAAGTAGAGTAGTCTGACCTGTACATCTCCGGTGGTTCAGTTAATTTTGGTTGGTTTTTTCGCAGATAAATTACTATAAGGGTAAGACCAAGGGTGACAAAAATGGATACGAGGGCTGCACTTTGACGTATGGGTTACATTATGCTTAACATTTCAGTTGATAAGGGGACAATTGAACAACCAATTAAAACAAACCAATTAGACAGTTTATAATATAAATATTTCTGTACATAAGTCTGTAGTATCAACTTACTAATCGTTTCATATCTACCACCCGCGAAATCTCAAATGCATTAGAAAACGTTCTAATATCGTTTGAAGAACCTAGGAAAATAAAGAAAAGAGAACAGGATGTGCGTGTGTGGCGTGTCCTTAAAAATTGTAGAAGATTCAATTTATTCCAGTTTATGTGCCTGCTGCATTTTATTTGAAGCTTCCTGAAATTTATTTCACCCTTGGTTTATTTTTGGATCTCGAGGATATTTATCGTCGTAAGAGCTCGTAGGTTTAATGAGCTCACTAGCAAACACTCAGCGACATGACATTGCAGTAACGTCAATTTGTAAAATCAGTTCGCCTGTTTCCGGTTAAGAAGTATGTGAGGGGTCAATTTTAAAATAAAGTTAAACTCACGATACATAGAGTAACTGTGTTTCATAGTACTGTTAGTAAACGAATTTATTCTTAGAATTATTTATTAAAATCAAGAAATATTTGTGGCGAGTGACCTGCAGAAACAAAAATGCTGCTGAACAAAACTTCACAAATTGGTTTTCAAAAAAGAATCGTGCACACTGCACAAGAGTAAGACATATTTTCAATTCAGTGAAACCAAAGACTACTTTCACATGGTCTGAGGCTGTATAAACTTGTTTCAATTTCTGCACACCTTGGAAATCAACAATATAGATTACTTTTGTCATTCCACTCCCATTTTTATTTTTTTGTTTCGTTCGCTCACTGCCACTCGTCTTTCTTTGCTGCAGAGAGTCTTCCTTTAAGAACTCCCTTTCCTCGGTAAGTTCATTTCCATAGATTTGATGCGTGTTAAGTTAGGATCAATCAAGTTTCTTTCAGCAGCAAATGTCAGGAGCGACCTTCATAATCTTGTGAACAGCATCTTCGATCTTTTGGTGCAGTGTGCGTTTTTTCCTCTTCCTCTCCCCGACGCTATATATTCGATTCTTGGTTTTATTATTTTTTGAATAGTCCGTACATTTTTATACTCTAATATGTAATTTTCTTTGCTGAGAGTTAATTTTATTTATTTAAAGAGTTGTGGTTTTCGTATTCATATTCTTTGCCTGTATTTTTATATTTTTGATAATATTCAATTTGTTTCCATGCTATTGTACTGTCAATAATTCTTTGATTCATGATTATTCAGTACTAAGCCCTAAAGAAATAAAACATGTCTACATATTCAGAAGCCATATGAAAGAAATTAATTTCTTTGGATCAGTGTGATTGAATGTAGTTTGAGTATATTTTTGGAACTATGGGTATGAAAGGTTTGGTATTATTAAACCTATTTTACCCAGAAAATATATTTTTAGGAACAATTACTATTGCATGTGAAATAAAAAGAAATACCCTTTCTTTCTATCCAACAGTAGCGGGCTATATGTGTTCTAATTAGGCGGTAGATATAAAACAATTAATTGGCGAAACACTGCCAGAACAATGCTGAACTGTGTGAACATTGGCAGTCTTCGATTGGTGTGATAAATGTGTTTTATTGTATTTTTTTCTGTTCACTTTAGAACAATGTCGTTTAGTATCGACATTAATTTAATGTTATGAAAAGGAAATTATCAATTTTCATACGTATTGTTTTGGTTTTTTGCATTTTCCGTCGATTTTGACTAAATAGTTTTACTCTAGAATTACTAATACGTAAACGGACTGACAAAGAGAGGCTTTGAAAATCACTTTTCAGTTTAAAGAACACTGAAAACAAGCATTTTGACAACCCTATTTATAGGAATGTACGGGCAAGAAACCATCCATTTTTTGAGCGACATAGAAAACACATTTTCTGTGGGAATTTCGACACTTTCTCCTGCAGCTTACATAACTTTCTTTACATAGTATACGTAGAGGTAAAAATTAGCCGGCGTCGCTAGGATTTAAACTCGCGTCCTTCTAATCTGCAGATCTTGCTTGACCACACTTCGCTACCGTAAACATTTGCCATTGCTGGATCCAGGAGAACTTATTACAAAAAGAATATTCACGTGATATTCATTGCGTTTAGTTTTTTACTAGAGAATGTACTCCATGTATCAAAGATATCAAATTCACGATAAGAATCCAAAGAAATTAAACACGCGCAACCAAGTAGTTCATTTTATGTTAGAAATATTTTCATCAGAAGCTCAGATCTGTAGGTTTGGTTGTGCAGCTAGTTCGAGGCGTTATCTTTCGGGGCCTACCTTTAAGGCTGAAGCTACGTCATAGGTGAAAGTTGGGATAACGCCAGGCGGCCAGAAATAGAGTCGGTCTGAAATCCAGAATCGTAAGGGCAGAAAATTTATACCTCATTCTTAAAATCATTACCACACTGAAGTATTAGTGACGCGTCAAAAGCTTTTACTCTCTGTGACATTTATTAAGGTTACGAATTAGTATAGCTATATCATTAACCACAAACGTGTTTTCTACCCTCAAAAATTATTTGCCACGGATGATATTCGAACCTAAGTGCGTAAGATTATTCGGCGGTCCTTCACCTCTTCTTGTTTTGTCGTGGAGTGCGTTCGAGAGCTCCTGCGTTGGGTTAGGGTGGGCTCGTCGGCGCGTGGGCCGGGCGCCTTTCCTTGGGCGCGGCGCGGCGGGGTGACGGTGCGCTGGGCGCGGTCTCCTGGAGGTTATCGCTGCATTGCTAGGGATTGGAGGGATCGAATAAAATCCCGCTCCTGTGGCCAGTGCTGCGGTTAGCGCGTGTGATAAAGTCATCCAAATCGGTGTCGTGGATGTTGCAAGAATCTCTCTTGGGGCTGGCGGTGCGAATCCTGCGGCGATTACGTTCACAAAAGTTGTGTCAATGTAAAAAGAGGACGGGGTGAAGGATGAGTTTGTATCAAATGCAAAGAACAGAGTGTTCGACGCCTGGAAGAAGAGCTGCCATCCGCGCAAAGCGAAATCGCGTCCCTGAAGATGGCTAATAAAACCCTTATTGAGCAACTGGCGGAGATGAGAGCCAAATCTGCGACACCAGTCGTGACTGAATCTGTAAATGAGAACGCTAGTGGCCCCTGACTTGTGTTAGGAGACTCTATTGTGTGACACGTGGAAAAAGAAGACAGTAGTTGTACCGGACAGCCGAGCGTTTTGTAGAAAAATGCGAACTTGGAACTCCGACTTTGGTCGCGACGAGTTACAGTTCAATCGAAGAGAAGCAAGCAGTTTAGGACGGCCCTATTCGTAAGTCTGCAACTCCATGTCGAACACTCTTTGAGTAAGAAAAGTACTGATCTACTGGACGACACAGAGGCGCGGGGCGAGACTGCGGCTCTGGAGGAGTCGGGCATGCGGCTCAGCGGCGGCGGCCGTGACGGCGGCGGAGACTACACGGCGGTGGCAGAGACGAAAACGGAGACGACAACCGAGACAACGGAGACAACGGAGACGACAACGAGAGCACATTCGAGAACACGTTCAGGTGAGGAAAGGATTTCTGAGGTTGTTGCAGGTTAACTGTCGTAGTATAATGAAGAAAGAAATAGAGTTTTGAAATCTAGTTGATGCCTGAGATCCTGACCTAGTGATGGGGACTGATTCGTGGCTAACTGAGGAAATCGGATTCTCTGCAATTTTTCATTCTCATTACAAGATCTTTAGGAGGGGTATAAATTGTAGATGGAGCGGATTTATTTGCGACAAAGCAGACATGGATATTGGATTACATTGGGTTAGTATATGAAATTATGGGAATAGAAATTACTACTTCAGGAACCATATTAGAAATGATTGCATGCTATAGGCCCCCGTGCGACGGACACGACATATTAGATGGCATCATTCCGAAAACGGGAAACGATAATGGCCATCCCATTGTTATATAAAATAAATATATATTCGAGCGAGGGAAAGTCCAAACACTTTCTAAGAACAGAGGCAGGTATTGAAGAAATATGGGGCACGGTCAAAAATATTATATACAAAGCTTTGCAAAAATTTGTTGCGTTCAAAATTTTAAAAATCTACATCTAGAATACAATGCAAAAATTAGGCGAATGAAGAGAATAACGAGAAAGGCATTTAAGAACAGAAAACGCAGTAACGAGCCTATAATATATAATAAACTGTTCAAAAGAATTGAAGTGAGAAAAGAAAATTGCACAGGAGGGGTATTTAAAGAATATTTTAGATGGGAAGGGAAGCAACTGGTCAGGATTTTATAAATGTTCGTAGAAGGAAGGGAAATAAAGACGATATCGGCGGCTAAGTACTTCTACATATATCAGTAGGGGGGATCGCAGGCACAAAGAAATTTAAGACCGCAGAGAACGGCTGTCGAGAAATTTGCTTTCACAAGTCAAACGATAACGGAATGGAATAGATTGCCTGCAAAAATCTCTGAACCCTTTCCTCGAAGCGTTTAAGTTTAAGAAAGTAAAAAGTCCCCGCGGTGGCTGCTCGAGGACCAACTTTATAATGTAAGTCTCCTTGCCCTGTGCAAGAGGCCCTTGCCCTAATAGGGATTAAACGGACTAATAATTAAATAATAATAATAATAATAATAATAATTAATAAGTAAATGGAGGGACTTAACTAAGAATAGTAGGTTACAGGGTGAAGTTGTGAAGTGAGGTGTCATGCAGTGTAGAGCAGAGAAATAATGAAGGAAGTGATTTAAGGATCATAGTGAAATTAAGTGAAGTGAAAAGAAGTGAAGTGAAGAGAAGTGAAGTGAAGAGAAGTGAAGTGAAGAGAAGTGAAGTGAAAGGAAGTGAAGTGAAAGCAAGTGAAGTGAAAGGAAGTGAAGCGAAAGGAAGTGAAGCGAAAGGAAGTGAAGCGAAAGGAAGTGAAGCGAAAGGAAGTGAAGCAAAAGGAAGTGAAGTGAAAGGAAGTGAAGTGAAAGGAAGTGAAGTGAAAGGAAGTGAAGTGAAGTGAAGTGTAGTGGGATCTTAATTGAACAAACATTCAGTGCGGAATCAGATTATAAAAGTTACTTTTTCTTCAGGTAATTTAATGTTTTATGAATCGGTTATATATATTTATTATTATTATTACTATTATTAGTCTTATTATCTATTACTATTGTTACTATGATTATTATTGTACCAGTATTATTATATAATTTGTATGTTAATTATATTATCTTTGTTATGTAATTAGCTCCCACCGGGTTATACACAATTGTAATTTAAATAAATTTATCTTTATCTTTTCTTATCTTATTACAGGACAGACACCCTGATGACAACCCTGCATCACAAAAGTGTAGCATCGCAACAAAAATAAAGTTCGACTTTCGCTATTTTGAAATATCACATGTTTGAATAAAAAGTCCGTAGCCATTTTATTTAGATAATTATAATCTAAATGAGGAAAAACTTAACATATTTACTGATGAATTTTCAAAATCTTGTTTACATATTTTTTTAAATCGTAACGATTGTACACAAAAGAATGTGAAAAATTCCCATATTTTGAAAACATTATTTATAACATTACTAATCTTTCATAACGAAGTAATGTTTTGCAAAGTATCGGCGTAGTGTCGTTTTAGAAACATATTACTATTTTTTTTAACAGAACACGATGGGGTTCGTTGATAAATTACGTAACGTTAAAGAATGGGATGTGGTTTGATTTTGCCTTTTTGCGCGTTTCTTAGGTGCGGGGTATTAGATCAGTGCGATGTAACAATGGTTTTTTTAAATTTACCAGCATTTGCTAAATCCGTTACTTTTGTTTGTAAATGTGTTACTTTTTTCTGCCTTATACCAACACATTAAAATATTTACTAATTACTTTTAAGGAATATGAAAAAATTGATGATACGATTTTCGGGTACAAAATTGCGCGCGTCTCCTCTCCATCAGATCACATCTTAGTTCACACATTAGTGATTTAAATATAAAGACTTTTTCAGAGATTTTTATTTAAATATCAGAGATTTTAGTCAAGAGTAGATTTATAACTTACTTACAAATGCATGTCTGCATGTCCTTATCGAGAAAAAAAGTATCAAGCAAAAAATATCAGTCATTTTCTAAAAAACTGCCCCCCCCCCCGAGCAGCCCGATGCTAGAGTGTACTAGGATTAAGAAAATTGGATTCTTCAATACCATTTCTGAACACACCACACTACTCAGTTTTGCTCTCCTCTTTTCCGTACACTAGCAGCAATCTATTAACTTTCTCATCTGTGTCTTTGGCGTACGGATGTGCGAGCATTGCCACGAAGTAGAGACTGTAGAAGGGGGAAGGGAGCTGTCTACATACATTGCCTACCCTGTAGTAACGAAGAGTGCAAATTTAAACTATTAAAAGCTGTCACATCTTCAAAGTTTCTTCCGCCAGATTCAGAGAATCGCATGGATTGAACAATGACCAATATATTCTTTGTAGTACTGGATATATCTTTATGAAAAAAACAGCATGAACACAGTATACTCCGATTTAAACAGTGGCATTTCAAGGTCGCGAGCTGAACGGAGAGGGCAGATACTGTCATCCAATCAGGATCTTTATTAGGAATTCAATTTTTGGTGTTAGAGCTTGCAATTGGCCGACCTCTTTGACTAAGAGCGTGTACGGACTCAGAGGTTCGGTCCGAAGGGACGTGGGTTCGAGTCCCGCCTTGGGCATGGCTGTTTGTCCCTTGTCTCTCATGTGCGTGTTGACGCGAGGAGCCTAAACGTTCTGACCCCTAATTAGAGGAGCCCGCAAAGTGTGCTAGTGTGTGGTTGAATATGCGTTCAATCGCGATTTAAAGGATAACCGCTGTCCGATGGAAAAGCCTTACAGAAAAAGAGCTCGTGTATGACGTTCCCATCGCCTTCCAGTTCGTGGTCGTGCCATCTGCTTGAACCGGAGTACAGTTCGCCTGCTGTGTGCCTGCAGGAGCCGCCGCCGAGCAGACGGTCTCCGCGAGCAAGATGGCCGCCAGCGACGCCCGCAGCCAGGAGAGCGCGGAGAGCGCGCGCTGCCGCCTGTACGCGCGCCTCTGCGACGACCTGGGCCGCCGCCAGCGCTCCGCCCCCAGCGCCGCCGCCGCCCCCGCAGGTGAGCCCCATCGCCTGCGCATGCAGATGGCCATCGGCGGAACCGCCGCCGGATTACTTCTTCAGGTCTCACTAGCGAGGACTTATCAAACTTTGATTACGTTTTATTCTCGAAACACTGGGGTCGTATCTGATGTATATTCCTTTTTCATCAAAGTAAAGAAAATGGTCGTGAGTTACAAATATCGTATTTAAGCTCACGTTATTCTAAGTTTTTTTAATTGTTTTATTCTCGAAAGAGATGAGCAAGATCCGATGAGTATTACTTTTCCACTGAATGTTGCGTTATGCTTTATTCTTTCATTGCTTTTGAATCTCAAATGAGTTGATTAATATCTGTATAGTCCTTTTCCAGTAACATAGAGGAAATGTTCGTATTTTTGAAGACGTCATTTCTGAAACTTTCATTACTTTTTCTTCTAGAAGGAAAAGAGTAATATGAAATACATATTCCTTTTTCACCGAAGTAAAGCCATCACTCGTGGCTTTAAAAGTAGTAGGCATAGAAATATATTATTATTAGGGAACGAATTGTCATGTAATGTATATGTTTATAATTCAGGAACAAAATGCCTACATTCAATATTTTGTTTAGAGTTTACGACTCATTCTGAATGAACAGCAGCCATTTTTATTTTATATATTTTGGCATGTGTGATGTTTAAGGATGTGCGTGTGTTTGTGAAGAAAAACTTCATCATGTTTCTAACAGTACATTAGTAACTCGATCAAAAACTAAAAAAAATATTTTTACAGATCGTTGCTTTTAGGCATTGTTGTATTTTTTGTGAATAGGGAGTATGTTTCCTTTACCCTCTCCCCACAACAAAACAAAACACACTACTAACACTTAATAGTTTATAAACTTCTTATTCTTCAAATTAAAATAAAACTCAAAACTAAACAAATAAATGAAGTAATTGAACAAAACAAAGAATTGAATTCAACAAAACTATTAATCAGTTTTTAGAGCGTCCACTTAAAGTTTAAATTGACCATTACTTTTCACAGAACACAGCCTTTGATTTCTATTAATGTTTTGAATTCAGTTCATTCCACTTCATATCTTTCTTTCCATTTCGCTTTGTGTATTTATACTTCGTTTTGTAACTTTAAATTCTCGTTAACTTTCTTATTGTTTCTTTCTGAGCATAACTACTCATCGATACGCGTCTGCTCTTGCCGACGTTCCCACTATCCTCTCCATAGATGAGAATACAGAAAACAGAATGGAGAAGACAAATGTTTTTGAAGATCGACAACGCAAAGAAGTTTTAAGACAATTTAATTAATATTTTCTTTACGATACCAATTAAGGAGCTAGTGGTACTATAACAGCACATGCTCTCTCCCATTAGTTGTACCACTAAGCATTATTATAATGCCACATGAACCTGTAAACGTGTTTCAACCAGCAAATATTTTTACTCACGCTGGATTCAAAAACAGTATCTTAGAGTAAACTTAACACTTATATTACCTTTACACCAACCACTTCACCGACATAAATGACGTTCCCAACTCTTAAAAAGAAGTTGAACATTTGAATTTTTCAAAAACATAAGATTTTCATTTACGTTATTTGAAGATCTATTTTTAAAGAGCAAATTTCGTAAAGGACTAATATATTCTTCAACGAGCGTATAATGATAGCTATTATTCACGGGTTGATGTTCACGACACCAGTGACGTAAGGGCGACTGTCGTAATTTCTTAGAGTTAAAAATAGACATTACGCGGGAGTAGAAGACCTACTTTCTCTACGACTTTGAAATACTTTGGTTGCCTTTTATGTTTCGGGATTTGGCCACCCTGGTGTTGCAATCTGGCAACTGACAGCTATATCGTAAAGTTGGATGTTTTGAGGTTAGACGTACTCAGAACGTTTTGACATACGAGCGCTATTTGTATTGTTTACAGTAACTTAAAAGACTCATCTTGGCCCAAAAATGGAATTAAATCGTGAACAATTTCGTGCGATCGATGGTATGGTGAATTCAATCGAGGTCATAGTTCACTCCAAGACAAATTTCGCGAAGGTCGTCCAAAATCAGTTATTGTTTCGAAAACCATTGATGCTGTGCGTGAACTGATATTGCAAGATCGTCATGTGACCTATCGTGAGATTGAGAGAACCGTAGGCATTAGTGGGACCAGAATACATTCAATATTGCATGAATATTTGACTGTCAAGAAAATGTGTTCGCGTTGGATCCCACACAATTTGTCAATCGCTCAAAAAAAGGCTCGTGTCGATTGGTCGAAAGAAATGCTCAAAAACTACGATCGCGGTGCTTCTAAACGCGTCTATGACATCGTGACAGGTGACGAATCGTGGATTTACGCATAAGAGCCCGAAAGTAAACAGCAGTCGACTGTGTGGGTGTTTCAAGATGAGCAAAATCCAACAAAAGTTGTTCGTGCACGAAGCACTTCCAAACAGGTGGTCGCCTGTTTTTTCAGACATGTCGCAAACATACCACTAGAACAACGCAGAACAGTCAATTCACAACGTGGTACACAACGATTTGTTTGGCACCTGTGAGTCCAAGAAATCAGGAAAACCAACCGCCGAAGACGGATCACTCTTCACCACGACAATATGAGCTCTCACACATCGGCTCAAACAACTGCATTTTTGAGTACCCAAAACATCGATTTGATGAGTCATCCGTCGTATAGTCCTGACTTGGCTCCGAATTACTTCTTTTTATTCCCGTACGTAAAAAACAAACTGAGAGGTCAACGTTTTTTGACTCCAGAAGAAGCGGTTGCTGCATTCAGAATGCAAGTTTTGGAGATACCTCAATGAGTGTGGCAAAAGGGCTTCGACAATTAGTTCAAACGCATGCAAAAGTGTATAGATCTTCATGGGGAATATTTTAAAAAACAATAAAGTGATTTTGTGTTTTAAAATATAAAAGGCAACCCTCGTATGCCACACAAGTTTTATAATTATTTTTCCCCCTGTGACTGATATTGAGACAAAACCTGTGCGATTCGTCCAGTTCACTTTTTCACTCACAGAGACTACATCTTACATGTGGAGTCCCTGAATCTGGAGTTTCTACTTAGAGCGTAATCAACAGCAATAAGCGGTGCTAGAAAATATGCAGACGTGTGCAGGCATGCAATGCTAGCAATTACAATTTCGCACGTTGGTGAAATTAAAATATTAATCTCTAGTTCTGAAAACAGAAATTTGAGAAGCATTAAATTCCCACATACATGTAAGTTATGTCAGTTTTAATTTATTTACATTACATAAATTTCTCTTTTTAAATGATCAAGAAAATTGGTTTTATGCACATGCGCAGCTTTAAAATTTTTTATGAAATAGATATTGTTGTCTCATTATGCAATGAAATGTGTACTTGCTAATTTGATTCACTTTGATACATGAAAATAGTATTGGGAAATATATTTCTTTCCCTTCGATTGTCTTAGATTAAGGGTTGATTAAAAATAAATTGAACCGACTTCAATGTTATCTTATAAACCGTTAAATACATTTTTCAACTGAAGTTCATTGATATCTACGGGGTGTAGAGTAAATGCCATGCATTGACTCCATGTACAGAAGGAATGCATATTTTATTAAATTATATCCATAATCAATATTGTAGTTTTGCAATGTTAATTTTGTTCGCAGTTTTCAAAAGTATGACTAATTTCACCGAAAATCGGACCTGCGCCTTTTCTTAGAGACATTGCTCTTTTTGAGGAAACAAGATTAAAGAGAAAAGAATTATTGACGCCATAGGGGATTTGAGATATTGCATATTTGATACACTCCGAGTTGGTATAGGCAAAAAACTGACGTGCCGCATGTGTAGAATTCACTTGAGAAATGAATTCAGAGCTATTGCATTTTGAATTCAGAAAATATCAGAATATTACAGTCTCGCTTGGTAGCGACAGTTATTTTGACTATTTAGCTAACTTTATACAACCTACATCACTCACGCAAAATATAGATTGTCTTGTTTTTAGATCATTGCAATTCATTGACTAGTTCAAAAATTATAGGGGTGAGTAGAAACACAGGAACTTTCGGGATGAGAAGCATAACATCAATTTTATCCCGTTTATTTACATTTATCAATGTAGGTATTGTTTTATCCTTTAAATAGGATTTTATCCTGTAAGTACTCTGATTTTTATTCTGTAAATATAAGTATTCTTTAAATGAAGCTTCTCTTTGGGCACGTTTTGTTGACTTCTGCTTTTTCTAGTTTCTGTGGGAGTGAAAGGTGTTATTTTGACAATAATTCTATCAAATCAAATGTGTAGTTCGTAAATTATTCAGTCGAAGTGTGTCATTTACTTAATTGTAAATAAATTGTATTTGTTGGTTTATGATCAGGAAGACCTCCGATTCAGTTTTTGAAACCTATTGCAGGACATGTCAAAGGAAAAGAAGAAAATAGGTTTGAGTTAGATACTGCCAAACATAAACCTAATCTCACTAATTCAATAGGGATATGACGTTTCTGTTCTCATCTGACACATCTCTCCCACATCACACCCAATATATCTCATATTAAACATAGCTCTCAGCGAGAACTTTTAATATTTTCGATTTCATTTGATGCCGATCAAATGTAATGACTTGAAGACCAATGCCTAGCGCTGACGATTGCACTAGAACGCAGCAGAATCTATCGGCTCTTCACGTCCGTTCGGCCTATCACGGACTCACTCTGGTGGTAGCCGTAAGTAGCCGTAAGGTAGCCGTGTGCGTGCAGGTCTGGATGCTAGCCAACTCCGCGCCACGTTTAATAGGAGACGCGTGTAGAAAAAGTCGATGGAAACTTCTGGCATCTGGGAACGTACTGAAACGTCGGGGTGTTAAAGTACGCTGGCAGTCATTGCCTCAAAACAATTTTTTATCATACTTTGCAAAGAGTAGTGTTGTTTTACGACACCCGACGGAAGAAAAGATGACAGAAGAAATATTAGAAACTAAAAATATTAAATTTAAGGTTAAAGTACAGGCAACAGCAATGCACATGTTGTAAGTAATAGAAATGCATGGGTTGTTGCAGACAGAAATCATTTACAACGGGGCTTAGTCACCAGATTGGAGCTTGTCCCGGATGGGTTCCCAGCTTGTGGGAGAAACCTGTTTGGGGAAACCCCAAGTCGACGTGACGATGGGCACCGGATCTCGCCATCCCTTAGCAGTTGAATCACCTACAATTACTAATCAATCAATTTATCCTGAGATAACTGAAGGAACTACGTGGTGAAGATCTTTATGACGAAACCACCAGAAGAGGTAGTTTTGGTCATGAACTGATGACACTGCAGTGCCTGTGACAGGGAGATCTTAGGATTTCACTCTCTTGATTGCAGGATTTTTGACACTAGCTACATAACTGGGTCGAGTTCAATCGTTGTCTGGAGGAGAATTCTAACAGCCGGCTACACTGATCAGTAGTTTTCCGTGGTTTTTCGATCAACAGGTGAATGCCAGTGCATTACCCCCCACAACGGGCCCCGGACCGCGCGCGATCTTTCCTTCCTCTTCCTTATCGTATCCACACCCCTTAATTCCACATTTCACTAACATGCACTACACTTCCGCACGTATCGAGAGACCGGTCGGAAACTTAGCGCTTGTCCCGGTCGGGGCGGTGCCCCGCTAAGGGGGAAAACTCGCCTAGACGACGGCAGGCCAGTGCTGGATCTCCCCATCTGCGGGGGAAGCACACCGCCGCCTTCCGAGGGAACACACGCGCTACACTAATGGGCTTAGCAGAGGCCGCGGAGGTGTGGCGCGTGTGCTGACGTGCGCGTGCGCGTGCTCGTTCACAGGGGAGCTGCCGGAGGGCGAGCGCGCGCTGCGGGTGCAGCTGTGCGAGCTGTACGGCGTGGAGAACGGCTTCTCGCACAACACGCAGCGCTACTTCGAGGCGGCGGCGGCGGCGGCGGGCGCGACGGCGGGCGCGGCGGCCATCGGCGGCGTGGGCAGCGGCGCGGCCGTGCTGCGGCGTGGCCTGCCCTTCGCCCTCGCGCTGCGCTTCGACCGCCCTTGCGACACCTCCTCCGACGCCCTCACCTTCATCTTCACCTTCGGTGAGTGCGATGCCCCAAACACGACCAAGGACAACTAGTGTCTCACGAGCACCATTTTCAGCCCTTCAAATATCGATTACTCCAGTCTTGATAGCTCTCGCCTCCTTAGCTCCATTTTCAGCTATTGGAATGCCCACTACTTGAGTCTCGATTTCGTCAATCTCGATTATTCCATCTCTAGTCTCGATATCTCTAGTCTCTATATCTCTACTTTCGATATCTCTAGTTTCTATTTCTTTAGTCTCGAGAGCTCTAGTCTCGATAGCTCTAGTTTCGATGTATCTACTTTCTATAGCTCTAGTCTCTATAGCTCTAGTCTCTATAGCTCCAGTTTTGTTATTATTGTAATTTTATTTTTGGTAGACATTATATTGTTCAGTTTACATATTAACTGTGAAAATGTTTGATGGTCTTAATTTATCTTATACTAACTTACGTTAATTTAAAATTATACGTTACAATTATATGAAAATAATATTTAAAACAATGTACTGGCGGGAAGATCTCAGATAAGTGTTATTCCAGGTTTGCGAACATTTTATAAAGTGAATGAAGGGATATTTGTTGTTAATTTTCGTTAGATAATTGGGGATTTTGCCTACTTTACAGAAGAATGATGCTTGAATTAAGGGAAGATAAGTGTAAAAATTGTGTGTGAGATAGGCAATTTGGTTTTTTATTGTTTTTATATTTAAATCATTATGAAGTTGATTGGTGCTGATGAACCATGGTGCTTTTGTAATTAATATTAAGAATTTATATTGGATAACTTGTATTTTGTTTAGGTTAGTATTATCAGCATTGGTCCAGATGGGACAAACACAGAGTAATGTCGACCGGATTATTGCTTTGTAGAGAAAAAGAGCATTAGATTTGGAGAGTTGACTGTGTTTATTCAGTTGGGGTCGTAGTTGAATTAGGTTAGTTTTGGCTTGCTGAGTTTTTACCTCTATATGTTGCTTCCGGTTGAGTCGGATATCGACGTTTAAACCCAAGTATTTTATTTTTTTATTACATGATGTCCAATTGATGATGTCGTTATTTATAATGAATGGAAGAGGGTGTGTGAGTGGTTTTAATGTGCATATTATTGGTACAGATTTTATTGGGTTCAACTTTATTTTCAAGACATTATCACAATTTGCAAGTAAATTTACTTGGTTCTGAAGCTGTGTTTAAAGAGTTGTTAAAAGAATTCCCTGAGATATACAGTGCTGTGTCATCGGCAAATTAAGCGGTGTTTATATGTTCTGAAGTAGAAATATCTGCTGTGTATAAATTGAACAACGTGGGGGAAAGTGGTGAACCTTGGGGAACCCAGCAGAAATTGTCCTTGGATTGGAGCAGTGGCCTTCGACGGATAATGAAAATGTTCTATTTGTTATATAGCAAGGATAACAAATACTAGATATTTGGGTGTACCTATTGAAATTAATTTAAAATAGAGAGCGGGATGCCATATTCTGACGAATGTTTGCGAAATGTCTACGAATGCCGCGATGGTATATTGTCCCTTTTGGAATGCAGGTGTTCCGTAAACCTTAGTAGGTGGTAAGTGGTGGAGTATTGTGACTTGAATAGCTCTAGTTTCGATAGCTCCTCGATAATTCGAATAAATACAGTCTCGACCACTCTAATATCAACAACTAATTCCGATAACACAAATATCGTTTAATAGAAAAATTCATACATCGAAACGCATTTGAAGCACAGTAATTAGAATCATGATGATTCTAATATTGATAATGAGAATCTAAAAATCTCAAATTACATTATCTTTAATCTCAATATTTCAAACTTTTTGATACGTCGAATTTTTACTCATTCTTCACTTTCCATATAAACGTAATGTTTATTATCTAGAAATTTTTGATAATTCATTTTTTGTTGTTTTTTCCCCTTCGATTTCAGATACCGAGAAACAATTGAAAAATAATAATTACTGGGGATTGAATTTATACAGAAATATATTTAAGTTAGATTACAAATTTCAATTCTATGTTTATAATCAGTTTTTGAAGACCGTCTATTGCAAATGACAATTTCCTTACCTTATTCGTGCAACGGGTTTCTTATTTATACCCAAGCAATTTCTTTTTGGTTTTCTACCATCAAGGTTACCATTGTTAATATTGTTAAGATGTCAGTGTCAAGGGTAATGGGAAAGTTAAAGAAAGGCGTTAAGGAAAATATTTTGGATGCTGTTTTGTTATATATATATATATATATATATATATATATATATATATATATATATATATCTTTGCTGTCCAGCTGGCAATTTGATTTAGGCAGAATTGAAGATTATAAGCTAATGTGTTAATGAAAGGATCTGATGAATAGATAGCCGTATCACCCGCAATTTGGGCTGTTTTTGTGTTATTGTGTTTTGGAAGGTCGGCTACGCACAAGTTATGTAGGACGGAAGATAACGGAGAAACTTCAGGTATGCCTGCCTGTCTGTTTTCGGATTGCAGTGATGGATACGATCTGTACCGTCAAATGTTCTATTGTTGAGGAATCTAGAGATGACTTGCGTGATTCATAATGTGAAGTGCACATTTCTTTCAATTTATGGTTCAAGGCTTGCTGACATGTACTGTCGAAAGCGCGAGATACATAGAGAAAAATAGCAATTATATAGTAATGTTTTTGACATGCAGTAAGAATATTTTTAATGAGTCTGAGTAGTTGGTGACGCATGAATATTTTTTCGGTGAATACAGTTTGTTTAGTCTCTATGGACATGGTAGTATGGAGGTAGATAAGACGTCCATAGAAGGTACACTGTAATTTTACCGTTTTAATGACTATTAAAAATGTTCCTTGAAAAATCTCTACAGATGTAATAGATTCGGTCAAGTCCTTTGATGTTTTAAAAACATAATTTATATCAGTTAGAAATAAAAATACTGTGGATGTCTTATTTCAGAGGGGAACAAAAGAAGTTCAAGAGAACTTGTGACAGTCATCAATGTGGATCCCATAGAGCTGCCAAGAGGAGATAACAAGGAGTGGTATGCGGCAGTTCAAACGGCTCAAATGAGGGACAAAAACACAGCTACTTTCAAGGTTAATGCAAAATGTGATGAAATTTTTTATCATCATATGTGATAATTCCGCATAATTATTTATTTTAATTTAGTTTTTAATTTAATGAAGGTTATTAGAGTAAAATATTTAATTAATGAGTTTATTCTACCCCACGAATATTGTTATACTTAAAATATTATAATTTTATTATAAATTGCATGTGTAAATTATTACATTACAATTATCAGTTTTCTTATTTGTTGCTAAGAACACTATTTTGCTTGGAAATTTAAGAAATCAGTGAGATTGCAAAATATTACTCTGTTCAAATTCCACTGGTCTTGTTTTTTGCAGGTTATGATTCCCTGCAGCGCGAGAGTTGGAATTTGGAATTTAACTGTCCGAACATACAAGACAGATTTAAAAGGAATTCGTATTCCACACACTCTAAATGAATATCACAACCCAGACTTTATATATGTCTTATTCAATCCTTGGTGTAAAGGTAAATACGTAGTAGTACATTAGTATTAAGGTCGGAAAATAATTATTAAGTGTCATTTCTGCAGAACTTTCAAAGAACTGTAAATGAAGTCTTCCTGCAAATTATTTTGTTGTGAAATGATTTGCAAATTGGTGGTAATATTTCAAAAGTGAATTTTTATCTTTAAGATTTTCTTTATTTTTAAGAAATGTCTATAGAATTTTGTATAAATTTACAATAGTACTTATTTATATCACAATTCTCAGACAAGTTCATTCTGACCAAATTTTAGTAAGAGTGTTCAATGTCACTGTTGTATCTTTAATGAAACTTGAGAAGTATTGTTTTGTTCTTAGAGAAATCTGTAGAAGCAGAAATGTTGGAAAGTTCAGTGTTCATACCTTTTTTATCAAAAGTTTTCTTATTGATCCAAAAGGTTTTGTTTATTGAAAGACGCAATACAGTGAAATATTATCAGTTCAAATTTCGCAGAACAAATTATATTAATATTTTGTTAGAAAAGCTTTTATCTTCAAAATATCTCGCAAGGTGTCAGTAAACACCAAAGTAGAAATTGTTTTATCAAACTGGCTCTGTTGTTACCAATTTCCCAAAGGAAACTAAGCTTCACGCTTAATTAGGATAAAAAATAACCCAGTAACACTGAGCACGTTAAAAAGACAGTGGTTGGAAGTTGTTATCTTTATATCACCAAATTCCCCCAGTGTTTAAGGCCCTCTGTTATGTTTGTTTTTCGAATATTCGCCCTCCATTTTCGAACATTCTACGTGTGATGAAGTGACACAGCCTTGTGAGTATTTTGTGTGTAGTTATTTGAGCAGTGCTTGTGGACGAAGTGCCGCTCGTGTTTTTGGAATGACGCCCGAAGTCTCGAATTCGCTTAGCCTTCGTGTCTTCACGTACACTGTCAGAAATGTTGTTGAAAATAATGTAGATTAATGAATTGTACATGAAACATAATTGAACGTTAAAAATAGCTTAATATATTCGTATATTACATTTAAAGCATACGTTAAAGTCAGTGTAGATTTAATGTAGAGGATCTACCGTTTCCCCAGCCTCTCATCATTCATATCATTGATTGATTATCACAAGTCTATCAAGATCATTAATTACGTCCTTCCGGATAAGACCAATAAGCTTTGATCCTTGCATCCTAATGTACAAGTGAACATGAAAATTAATGTGCGTTCAGGATAATTACTTTAATGTACATTTCGTTAATATAAGGCGGAAATTTCTGACAGTGTGGTTAACGAATTCGGCTAGCGTCGCTGGTGGCCTTTCAATAGAACCATTCCTTGTGAGCATCCGGTGCAGTCATTTGTCGAGTGCTGACGGCCGAAGTGCGGACTCGAGAGCGTATCGCTTGCGTGCGCAGAAGACGGCGTGTACCTGCCGGGCGAGGCGTCGCGGCGCGAGTGCGTACAGGCGAGCGAGGGCAAGGTGTGGCTGGGGTGCGCGCGCGACCCGGTCAGCGCGCCCTGGGTGTTCGCGCAATACGCGCCCGCCGTGCTGCCGTGCGCCGTGCTGCTGCTGCAGGCGGCCGGGGTGGCCCCCGCGCTGCGCGGCGACCCCGCACGCGTCGCGCACGCCCTCGCGCGCGCCGTCGCCACGCGCCTCGTGAGTACGCCACGCCCTGCCACGGCCGCTCCGCCGTTCCGTTCCTCCCTGCCTCCACACCGGGGATATCCCTGGGAAGTACCCTAACAAACGGGCCACGGACCGCGCACCTTCCTTTGTCTTCCTTATCCTATCCTTTTCCCTTACGCATACACTCACACACATACACTCCATACACTTCATTACCATATTACCGGGAGACCGTTCGGAATATTAAAATGTGTCCCGGTTGGGGCGGTGCCTCGCTGGTGGGAGATACCTGGTTGCAGGAAACCCCATTAGCCTTCGTTTTTTCTGCGCCGGATCTCGTCATCCAGACGATAAAAATCACCGCCACCTCTCGAGGAAAGTTCTCGCCTGGAAACGGTAGCGAGCGGACGTGCGCCGAGCGCTCTCCTTCACGGGCGACTTCAGTGAGAATAAGTTTAGCAGAGTACAACTCTACGAATTCAGTTACAGTGTTGAGAGTGACAAATGTTTTCAAGTGGCTCCCCTGAACGGGCAGCCACATGCTAGAAGCAGTTAAAGCATTAAATCATCACAAGTGAATGCAGTATATTAAATTCAACACCAATGAATGGTCAAGTACAATGCCCGTGGGCAAAACATGATATAATTATTACAAATACAACAAAATGCGCCGCAGCAAATTAGAAAGCAATATTACATAAAGATGAAGAATCAGGATCACAATTATCCAGATTCATCAACAACTACTTATGAGAGAACAAACACTTTCAATTCCAGACATACCAGGGCCACGCTGGAAACTTCATTGAGACACAAACCACAGCAATGGTCTCACAACTAGAAGTCAGTCGTCTACAACCTCAAATAAACCGTAGTACCCTAGAGTGGCAACACTCGAAAAGACAAAAAACATGCTACGCACCCAAGCACATACAACTCCCTCGAATGTTAATCGCGCCAAGTGGTTTACCATAAATAAACAATATGGCACTGTTAGAGAAGAAATCAGAAGTGAAACTCCTAAAAAAACCTGCCGTAGATCATAACATACGAATTTTCGTGCAAATGTTACTAATGTAGTCGAAATTAATTGAATTTCTTAAAACTAAAGTAAAAAGGATTGATTTTACTCAAAATGTACATAGCGATGGATGTAAAAGTGCTACGAAAACCATTTGAAGCTTCAGAGCAATAATTAAGCAACTTTATATGGACAAATCCCAGCTCAAATAACCTTATCTAACAAAGAAATTAGGACAGCATTCGTGTATTGCTTCATACCGTGCCATCCTCAGCAACACCCATAGACAGAAAGAAGCTGAACCTCAAACGCAAGGCACCACCTCGCTAATCGTAATGCACAAGTACTCATCAGGAGTAAGCAAAAAAGCCGCTATCGCTCTTTTTTATAATTAACAAGTGCAAACATGCAGAAATTCTACAATTATGAACACCTGTGTAAAATGCAGAAAAAATTTGAAGGCACGTACAAAAAAGAAAAATTCAGTGAATGCGATCGCTGTCAGAGTATGTCACACGAAGAAATATTGTAAAGCAACCCCAAGTCTTGAAATGCGTAACACTTCACAGACTGAAGTGCCCAAAAAAAGATAAACCCGCAGCCGGCAACATGCCGACTATTCCAGAAGCTATCAGCCAACCTATAAAGCTTGCAATGGTGTATAGATTACGTTAATAAACTAACAAGCAGCAAAAAGAAAAACACATCAACAAGAAAGAAAAAGGTTGCCAAACGCCTAATTCCCTTCCTCCAGTTGCCACTTTCAACCCAATCCTCTTCGTACCCAGTATTTCTCCAAAATGCAACATCCGCCCTGTACCTAAATCAAAAACCAAACAGACTCTGCAAAATATAAAACTTCATTCCAAAATTCGAAAGCATCCTTAAACCAACATTCTGAACAAATTGGCTTTGCTACAGCCCATTACTGACGTCATAATATCCAAGATGAATAAATGGCACCAAGAATTAAATAGTTCTCTGGCGAAGCAACCGGTTAATCCCCAACATCAAGAGAGCTCGTAACATATTCTAAGAGAATAATATATAGATATTATGCTAAAATCCTGAAACTCACCAAAAAATCTACTTAAATACCGGGATATGCAATATATATACGAAGCACCCGACGCCCTTGACAGCCGCATGGAGAACTGCCCTATAATAATTCGATAACACAATAACAGTACGAAAGGGGACAACGATATAAAACTGAAAAATACAAGCAACATTGTAATTGACAGAAAGGCAAGCCTTATGACGATAAGCATTCTGTATACTGCCCGCCTAAACATGAATAACAGAACAAAAATTTGAAACTTTTATAAATACATAGGACGAAGATTATAGCTGGAGCGACTTCAATGCAAAAAACAGCATTGGGCTCACGCATCAACACACTACGAGGAAAAAATCTTGCTAAAGTCCAACAAAAATAAGTGTTTCTACTATATCGATGGTGAACTTACAGTACTGCCCACCTGACCGTCAATAAAGCTCCTACCTCTGACCTTCTACTTAGCAAAAGTGTGCCACTCTCTGGTACAGTAAAGATAATCTAATACGACCTTTTTCAGACCACACCCCCATAGAATGACCATCAGTTCAAATATATCTGAAAGAAACTATCCTCTAAAACTAACAGACTAAAGAAACTGGAACGCAAGTACCGCGATCCGTGAAAATAAATATCAGGCAACGCATGCTAACAACTGAAGAAACAATCGAAACCCAATACACACGTATCTGGCACAACTTACAACGCTGCCTCGGGCCCAACACCAAGCAAAACATAAATATAAATCGTCAACGTATCCCGCCAGAAATAAAGACAAAAAAGTGTAGAAAAACGTCGACTCCGAGACGATATTCCCTGACGACACAAACCAGATGAACAAAAGAAAATATAAACACAGAGGCCAGACAATTAACACGTCAAATTAAGAATACGAAAAGCATAATCATTCTCTAATTACATTCAAAGCACGTATCACCTGCTGCGTGAAACTATTATTCGCTTTAAAAGCCAACTAGAACTAAAGCGACCCAAACACACACTCGAATTCGAAAAGAAATGGCAGTGGCTAAGAAGGCGCAGAAGAAAAGGTCGAATGCTTAGCCAAAACACTTTGATCTAGTTTTCAAACCAGCAGAAAATGAGTAAGTACTATTGGAAACTAAAGTGCTAGAATATTTGGACTTGCGCTCTTCTACGAGTGATTCCTGCTCATAGATGTCATTTTCACTCCGAAAGCACAGGAACTCAACACAGAAAACGCACTGAACGGTCCGGACTTTTGCTTCTTAGCCGCAATGTTGCACGGAAATGCCAACGTAGTATGATCGTTAACAAGCATATTTAAACGCAATACTTCGAATACCATTTTCCCTTGTCGCAATGAAATACCTTCAAATAATTTGCCATCGTGGAAGACAGAAGGACTTGCCAGGAAGTTACAATCTACGACTATCAGCTCGTACCAAGTCCTATCAAAAGTATTTTGAAAAAAACTTCTCTTTACAGGCTGAAGCTTAAATTAAAGAGCGATTCCGTGATTTCCCACATTGGCCTTCGCGAGGAGGACTCAACAATAGAACCAGACCCATCTATTGTAAACACAATTTCCTCAAAGCCTGGAAGAAAAGCTATATTGTTCTGCAGCATTCCTAGACATACAACAAGCATTCGACAAGGTATGTATGAAGGAATTTCTAGTTTAATAAAATAAAACAACTTCTCCCCGCACTCATACTATTGTACTTTCAAATCCTAATTTTGCGAATCGCCTATTTCAAGAAATATAACGAGCTGCTATCTGGAATTCCAACCTATTTCTGCAGGGGGAGTGCCACAAGAGATATTCTTGGACGCTTTTTTTATATTCTTATTATCAATTTCAGACTTACGCAACAACAGAAAGAACATACAATAGCACCTTTATGGCGCGACACAGCTATTCCTCTGGCAAATGAGACCCCTCGCGGCATCACAACATTCTTCAAGAACATTAAACAAAAAAAAGTCGAAATTGAGTCATTTTGGCGGAGTCACGGTAAATAAACAAAATCAGACATATAACATTTTGTCAACTAAAGAAAAGAAACTGCCAAAAGTAAAACTAAGAACAAACAGACTCCACGAATATACTATCAAATATCTTGTCTGCATTTATAGACGACTGACTTGGAAAAACCCACATCCAAACAAAGAAAAAAGCGCAGCCTAAAGTTTCAATTGTCATGCGTAATAAACAGACAAGGCAAGCTGTTCCTTGCATAACAAAATACAGTTTATAAAAACTATAATCAAACCAACATGGACTTGGTACTTGAATTGTGGCTGTCCAGAATAAATCGTGAGAATTTTAAAAAGATTCGAATGCTAAAACTCTAAAAAACTGTGCACACGCACCATGAGGTACCTTGACAAACAAAGACGATATACAGAATCGCTAGACATCGTCCCGCTGAAGGAAGTAATTCCACAAAAGCACAGCATAGAGAAGATACACAAGAATGGATATACAGGACTACAAGCTATAACCCTCAACAAACCATACTACATAACAGTGACACTGTATAGACTGCAGGAGAGAGAGTATTTTAGATCTCCCATACCGATTTTGAAATGAAATCTTTCATTGGTCATAAATTGTTTTACGTGGGAAAATGTATCTGTTGGAAACCATTTGCTTATTGTTCCGATAGGAACAGATTGTAAATTATGCAGAAAATAAAATAAAAAAAAAACCTCTCGAGGAAAAAGCAATCCCTACACTTACTGACCCTAGCAGTTGACGCACTCGGAATCACTAATCAAAATCATCATCTACCGTATCACGTTGCCATATCAGCATGCCTCGTGACACGATGTTGCGCTCCTCCACTCTACATTCCATACCGCCTGCCCACGGTGACCTGCCACTGTATGGCCTGTCGCCTTCCGCGTTGCCACATTCCATATCGCTTCGTTCCACATCACCGGACCTCCGTCCGCCTCATTTGCTCTGCCACGCCCCGTTTCATAACCTGACGCTCCGCACCGCTACTTCACGTTCTGCCACACCATGCTCCCCCACACCTCGTCGCACATCATGACGGCAGGCTTTGCTCCGCCCCGCCCTACTCCGCCTTGCTGCGCCCTGCCTGCTCCGGCAGTCCCTCTCATCCCGCTTCCGCCAAGCTCCCCTCCGCGCTGCAACACACGCCGCCGCTTTAAAGTAATCAGTGAATATATACTACAGTGCAACCTTGATGTCGCGAACCTAAGACGGAGAAGAAACAAATATCCAGTTATAGTTCGAAATACAGAAAAAAATAGCTCATCGAACATGTTGTTAAGGGACGTTGTGTGTAATGGAAGTTTAAAAGAGAACTAATAAAATTCGAGATGTTCAGTAATTTGTTTTACGTATGATCGAGTTAACTTGGTGTCACTGTTGTAATAAAACACACATTATTAAGTAAATAAAAACATTGATAATTACAAAAAATGTGAAGACTTCACGTTTTGCCATATGTCTTGTATTTGTCAGATTTAAAATTTGGTCAAATTTACTTGAGAACGGAAAAATAATGTTTAACATCAATTTCCACAGTTTTTCAGATATTAACTGGGTCAATAGAACTAGAACGTAAAAAAAAACATACTTCATTTTCTTTATTTGTTGAAATTACTTTGTAAATTGATTGAAAGAAAGTTACCTTTCTTTATCACATGTACTGTAAAAGAATTACGTTCAACTCTTCCGCTTCATTCGTAGGAAACCAAAATAAACGTATAGTCTAATTAAAATATAAGACGAATAGACAGCGATCAGCTGGGCCGCGGTTATCCATTTTGGTACTTCATTTCGAATTATTTTTTGAAACTGATGCTCCCGATTGGATAACCGCGTCTCAGGTGGCCAACCGTCAATTCGTCCTTTGTTTCAATCGGAAACAGTGGTAGTTGATTATAGCTGATTTGATGCTTAGATTTAAACAGGGTCCGTTCAAGGTCACGAGCTGGAAAGATAAGGGATTGTCATTGTCATTCAATCAGATGCTCCAATACCATAAAATTAAAATGGTATAGACGCTCCCGATTTGAGAACACTGTCCCCCTGTCCTGCCAGCTCGTGACTTTGAAGGACATTTTGTTTTAATCGGAGTGCATAGTCCGATTTAAACATGGGGTGAATCGACATTTAATCTGCTGGGACGCAGCGATCCAATCGGGAGCTCCGTTACGACTTCATTTTTTAAATCTGAAACTCCGATTGGATAACCGTCATTTCACCCTTCGTCTAAATGGGACAGCCAGCGCCCGCGCGAAGGGTGCGGCTGACGCGCGCCGCGCTGCGAGCCGGCAGGTGACGTTCAAGGACGACGACGGCGTGCCCGTGGACTCGTGGGCCCGCGAGCGCGCCAACGACGGGGTGCCGGGCCAGTGGACGGGCAGCGTCGCCATCTTGGAGGAGTACCTACGCACGCTGCAGCCCGTGCGCTGCACGCAGAGCTGGGTGCACTCGCCGCTCGTCGTCACAGGTGCGCAGCGCTGGGCGGAGGATTGCATGGGAAATGGTTTAGGTCGCTTTTTAACAACTTGGTCATATAACGATCACTGCTTTAACTGTTACTTCTGCTTCAACTGTTGTGAGAACTGTAAGGACAACAAGAACACACACAAACATTAATGCCCGAGGTGGAATTTGAACCCGCAAAGTTCCTACGAGCCAAGGCAGCTACGGCCTTTCAGCCTTCGACCATGGGAGATTTATGCACAGTAAAATTAGAGGGGTTTTTTGTCGAAAACTTGTCATAATCTGGCTCACGATTTCAATATTTTCTCGTCTAACGAAGTAAGTGCGAAAAAATAAAAAGTATGGGTGAAAATAGCATTCTTAACGGTAGGTGTCCGTTAAGAACGATCGACCGTTAAGAACAATAAAAATGGGTTTATTTAAAGATGGAGAGTGAATGAAAGATGTTCCTGATTTCTATGAATTTTCCTTGTAAGATGATGTCATTTCAAAAAGAATTCAACGGTCGATATCAAAAATAACAATCACGGTTGGTAAAAAAATTCTGGTATCTCCTCGATGTATCGCTTTCAACCATGGTAGTTATTTGCTCTATAAGAGCCTAATGACGTAAATAACTATAAAACACTCTTCTTTTAAAGATGTTGCATTTTTCAGAATTGGTATCACTACTTACAATCGACTTACTTAGCGTAAGAGTGTGATATCTGATGGATTCAATATACATTATGTTTTAGGGAGTTTGTGATCTTTATATTCTGTTTTATTAACTGGTTTAGTTATATTCTGCGTGACACTGCGTCCGGATACTTTTTTTCTTGTTTAAGTGCTGTACGTTTCATGATTAACACCTGTTATTCCACAAAAATGGATCTCGATTGGGGTGTAAATTTGTCTGAATTTAATGCTTTTGATACTCTAAGTCACGAAAGATTTACTTAATCGAAATAACAACATACAAAATAGTGCAATGATTGTATATAACCCAGATCTGTTATCAAGAGAGAGATGTGAAAATGTGTCAGAACTGACAAAAACCATGCTGGTATCTTTGAAAGACTGTAATGTAAGCCTATTAGAGTGATACATCAAAATCATATATAATAAAGCACTGAAATCAAAATTTTAAAAAAATTCTGGTTATATCAAAACTCAAGATTTTCCTATTTTCGGATATTTTCAAAATACAATCAAAATATGAAGGCTCTTAATCTAAACTAGCAGATATCTTAATTGAAAGATAACACTTAACTTCTTTGAAAATACTAAAAACTTACATTGTATACATTTGTTTTTAAAATTGAACAATATTTTACTTACTGATATTTACATTTATTATGACAAAAATATATCCAGATAAGCACGAAGTTGTTGTTTTTCTCCGTTCTATCTTCATATCAGAGAACGTTCTCCTATAAAGTTATAAAGTTGCTAAAACTCACATTAATAAATTACAAATTGAACAAAATAAAGTTATCCGTAAATTAATACAAGCCCCATGGTTCACACTAAGTTATCAATTTCATCACGAACTAAATTTAGAAAACATTACAGACTTAATAAAATTACAAAACTAAAAACGTTTCAAATTACTTCAGTTTGTTTTTTTTTTTACATAAAACTACTTTTAATCTTGTATATGCATACAAATTTCCTCGTAGAATTAAATTCCGATTCCCCAAATACCGATTCAGACATCCATAGTTATTTTCCTACACTTACACACTAGAACACACACTTACAACCAACACACTACTTCCTCTCATTCCCACTTTTTAAAAATATTGAATATAATTTCATTGTGCTAATAAATAATGAAATCATAACATATAATACTTGTTTTTGCCCTAACAATTAGGGACAATTAATGTGAGTGACCAACTGCAACACGTCAATGAAATGTAATTTTTAGAGCCCCTGAAATGCTTGAACAGTCGAACAGGCAGGAAGGAAATTTCATAAGAGGGGGGCGTTCATGTTAGTGTGTTATGTCTGCGTTGTCCGTAGTTTGCCGGGCGCTGGGCATCCCGTGCCGCTCCGTCACCAACTACGAGTCGGCGCACGGCTGCGACGACTCGCTGGCCATCGACTGCGAGATCACGCGCCACGGCCTGCGCCCGCTGCTCGTGGGCAACGCGGCGGACGAGGTGTGGAGCTTCCAGATGTGGAACGAGGTGTGGGCGGCGCGGCCTGACCTCCCGGAGGCGTACAGCGGCTGGCAGGCCGTCGACGCCACCCTCCCCGCGGCCAACGGTACAGCGGCGGAAGCCCCTTCACACCTCACAACGAATAGCTCCATATACCATTTAAAATCCGTTTCAGACAGGATAAAATAAATACAGTAGCGCTTTGTGCAATGAGATAAACAATTCTTACGTCATTTTACCGAGAAACATTTCATAACTAAACAGCACTTGGTCATTGAATTCTTTTATGACATATTGTCCAAAAGCTTGTGTAAATGGTGAGCCGAATTAGTAAACATAATGCTTTATATTATCCAAGAGTAAATTTTTTCGGATATAACAAAAAAACAACAATTTTTTAATTGCTGGAGTGGGATAGCAAAACCTGACTGACTACCATTCACCTGGTCTGAAAGTGTTTCCTATCAATGCCTTCTGCAGCCGAAGTCTCAATAATACTGGAATTTCGTTTCAGGTGCATCGGCGGCGCTTTGTTTTAAAACAAATCGTTGAACATTTTACCGCGATAAAAACATACCGCTCCATGCACTTCACGTACGGTACTAATGACCTTCCGGCGCGAACACCTTCGTCGAGCCCGGAATCGTTATTCAAAACACTCAATGACTCGAAATTTGCACAAGTTCCATGTGGTGCAAGGAAGTGTGTGCTGCTGTGTGAGGCGTGCGTGCGTGCGTTTGCAGGGCGAGCGGGGAGCGGGCCGGCGCCCGTGGAGGCCATCAAGCACGGGCTGCTGGGGCTGGGCGACGAGGTGCGCGCGCTGCACGCCCGCGTCAACGGCGACCGCTTCCTCTTCCAGGAGAACCCCGACGACCCCGACTGGCTGCTGCACCCCGTGCACCAGGAGCAGGACGCGTGAGTCACTCACCCACACAGTGGGCCCACTCTGGCGCGGGGCAAGCAGCAGGCGAAGGGCGAAGCGTTGCTCGGCTCGGGAGCTTGGCCGGGAAAGGAAGTGGGTGTACGCAGGGGCGTCCAGAAGACGGGGAGGGGCCTTAATGGGGCCTAATTTTTTTCATTCAAAAGAAATGAAAAATATATTTTTCTATAATCAAAATTAATATAAATTATTTTTAGTGTATGGAGAAATGAATTCTGTTCATGAATTGGAGGAGGAGGCAATTGTTTGTTTGAAATAAGACACCGCTTTGAACGAACTGCCCCAGGGCCCTAGGCTTCTCAGGGTATACACTTGAAGAGCCGGCCACCATCTTCGGTTGATGTGACTCTGTTGTTCATTGGACAACTGCGACATGTGGTTTTTGTCAGATGTTTTCGAATTTGGCATCACATCGGTCCCTAATGCTTCCAGCTATTTTTTGACTCTGACGTTCGCCTCAGATACTGACACAATAACGAACCAGTCATTTCTTTTCTTGCATCGTTCGAGCTTCACTGAACGGATATGTGGAAATTAGGCCGGGATTTGCCGGAAGGTTCAATTTTCCTGGATATTTATCAACAGTTTTATTACATACCACACGCGTGTCATGACAGGCTGAAGATAATCTGCTCTTTAATTACCGATCTCGATCCTCCGCCCCAGTTGCTAAACCTGCGAACTCTTGAATTTTTAAAGTCGGTATGCTAACTCCATCCTGCGTCTGCTACATTTAGTAGCACGTTAGTAGCACGGTCTCTTATGAGGACAGTGATGCCAAATGTCTTTTCTCCCACACAGATGTTATTTAAAGGTGACAATGGGAACAATAGGGAAATATTACAGAAGCATAATAACACATCCAAGAAAAACAAGTTAGCAAGCCCAAGAGAGTAGCTTACAAACATTATGCGATATATCTATCAGAACAGGTGGCAACGGTGCTATAGCTGTTCCAAAAACCCTTATAGAAAAGTAAATTAAGTCTTTGGACACTAACATTATTTTATGTAAATACACTGATATTTCTACATATGCTCTTGTTAGAAAAACCTTAATAGTTACTTAAGACAGATTAAAATTTTGTAATATCTGCATTCTTTCCCAGAAACGACCGTAATTCGTTGTTCTAAAAGTTAATACTCAGATTGCTCTTACAAATACCGATAAGCAGCTTACCTTTGAAAACACGGCCAAGAATTCACTGTTTGCCATTGCAGTTAGTGAACAAAAAGCCATTTGGCCTTAAGGAGGTATCTAGGTTTCCGAATTGAAAAATTAAACGAAAATCAGCTGGGATGTAATTTTCCAGGCGTAGATCGCGAAGCGCCCAATGTATTTGCATACTTGTAGGACACGCGTTTCGAAGAAGGATACCCTCTCACGGCCGTACAAGTAGCCTGGTAGAGCAAATGACAAATTCAAAAATACACTTTGAATTCAATATTGCGGATAGTTTGAGACGCTGCAACGGTATGGCATACAACTCCTTCACACTTTGTCTATTTAACAATCAATATACAAGATTTAGCTGTATATCCCCGAAGGTATAGTGTTTTTCGGCACATTCAAAAAATATTGCAGCGCAACGCCAGCACATACAGGCTGCGGAACGTGTGTTTCCCTATTCTTCATAACACTGGCTGACATCTCAAAACGTTTTAGCTGTGAGATTATCTCTCATGGTTTTTCTAGATGTCTCCCGTCCTATGTGCCAAAGGACGCCAATCGCATGAGATGTTCGTTGGAGCCAAGAAACCTCCACCACGTTCTTGGTAGAAGTCGTCCCCTTCATTGTGAGAGATTGGCTCGGCCTTCGCGTTTCTTTATTACGTTGAACATCTATTACTCGAGCGCGGGTTTGTCGGACGCCGCTTTGGCAGACGTCGAGACCCACAACGTTCACGAGAGGCAAGACGCAAACACGCAGGCCAACGGCGCGACTCGAACCTGTGACTCCTCGTGCCGAGGCGGCGTGCATTCGAACCTCTTCACCCTGTCAGGCGGACAAAACGAATGTTTATTGCAGTTTAAATGTAGATATGGCGTTCCCTCGCAAACGTCGCTGCCTGCCCTAGCAACTGCTGTCTCGGCAGGAGACACGGTGACCTATTAGCAGATTTGCGCGCTCTTTTAAAGCGTAAGGGCGACGCAATTGGGTAGAGGAGGGGGCTACGTCCACAACGGTTCGCGTGGAAAGAAACGTTCCGTGTGATGTGTGTGCATTTCTCTCTGCCAAGTGGAAGATAAGTCTCTTTACAAGAAGGATGACTGGACGGGTGCAGGTGTGATTTCGGTAGGGAAGCAGAATGTGACAATTTAGAGAGGACATTTACTATTTCCAATCTTAAGGACGCCATGTGGATGTTGTAGTATTAAATACCTTGACCTCATATACCGACGATGGCAAGTACAATTTGTATTTCGAAATCAGGTTTTTATAAGGCGGAAAAGTTATCTTTATTTCTTCTTTCAGACGAGAAGTCAAGCCGGTGACCTGATGTGGCATCATTGCCACATGAAAAAGATCCATGCAACACCACTGGTTCAACGATCATTAACAGCAAAAGTTTTACAAACCTGGCTGCCGGAGTAAACTATTAATTCGTCGCTAAATTTTTATCATCAGGCTAGGTATCTGCTTATACATGTATACACTATATACATTTGGGATCTATCTCCCCTGCGCCGTTTTATCAGTGTGGGTAAAATGAGCGTTTGTGATTACAATACCGTGATAAAACTCTCCCGAATGAAATCTGTCGGGTCTCGATTTCTCGATTTTCTTCAATACACCGCTTCATAGTTGACTGCTCCTCATCGTCTGTGCGTCTAAATCAATGCGCGCTTTCGTTACACTCGTCAAAAAGAAAGCTGTTCCGTTAAGAACGAGCGCTTAAACAGGTAACGCGAAGACCCGAACGGACAAGTCTGACATATCTGAGTGAGGAGTTTGAGGAGTCATCCCATTTCGTGAGACGCTAGATTTGCGAAACACAACGTAATTCATACGGCTCACAAATAAATCGGGAGATCTTATCAACACTAACAGATTGTAGTGACGAAGAAGAAAATGAATCTGATACTAATACTCATGAAAATGCCATTGTGGTCTTTGTATGATTGTACTGGGTATTTGCGTGCTTGGCAAACTTAAGAGAAATGTAAATCCGCCATTCTGCGGGTCATTTTTAATTAGTAATAATTGTATGAATATTATATTAGGGAACTTTATTCTAATCACAAGGTTTCTAGCAATTTGGATGGTTTTGTTTGTTTACAGAGTTGGATTTCTTATTGTAACGAAGAAAGTTAGCAAGGATGATGAGAAGGGTGATACAGATATTGATGATATTACTCAGCAGTACAAATACCTTAAAGGTAAACGTGAATGTCAATATTACTTTATACTAAATTGAATATTAAATTCCATATACAATTTGACATTTATGTCCAAATAATTCCTTTAATAATGACCAACAAAGCAAAATGTATCGTGACGTTCAAATGTGTTTATTTATTTAAATCTGTGTGACTCTGACTTTATATCTAAATCAAAGATTATTAAATTATAATGTTTAAAGTTTCGTTTAAGAGCCTGTTATTGAAGGTTCTCCGCAATAATCTGCGTGGTTTCTTTTCAGAGAGGACTGGACTGAATAATTTGAAACCTTCGATACGCAAAGAAGCAGCTCTTGACTACAATTTGGCTGCACCAGAAGTTACGTTTGAATTGATGGTCGGTAAAACGACTTTTGGGCAAGATGTCACCATTTCATTACATGTACACGTAAGTCTCCATCTCCATCAATACGAAACATTGAAACATAATGTAATTCTGTTTTCATTAAGAACGTGATGTAAATGTTAAGAAAAAAATCAAATGTTGGAAGCAAATCAAATTTGCGCTGAAAAACTAAGGCAAACTAACGGACGTGAGTGTCATACTCTTCGAAATTGTGAGCTTATCATTCTAGTCAGAATTTTTTAAATTTACTTTAATCCTTGTTAGTCATTTTTCCTTTCAAGGAATCGAAACGTAAATTATTAATAGTATTACGTAATACGATGAGTTCCTGAGGTTATCTCAAGTAGAGACTTCTTAGTATTGTTCCAACCGATTTGAAAGTATCTGAATTGTTTTTTAATATTCCCTTCTAAGGTCTTCAAAGATCTTGAGTTTTTACGTTAACATAAGGATATTGTTTTAGAGGATCTTATGCACCGAATTACGAGTATACGTGAGTTTTAAGCAAGAGGATGGAAGGAGAGGTTCCCGTTGTAAGTTGTCTGTAATACAGTTAAGAAAAATAAACAATGTGACATTTAGAAGGGACCATTTTAAATGTTTGTCTAAAACACTCAGGAACATTATTACAGATGTACGCAGCCTAAAACAAGAGGAGAGCTAATTACATTTTTGAAACAACCCTTTTCTCTTAAAATCTTGATTTGCATATGAGATATGTTTCTTGGAGCTAAATGATACATGTATAACAACAATTGATTTTATGTTTAAACGATTTACAGTTTTGCTGGTTGGTTCGGAGATTATTTTTTGCATATGTGTTCCCCAAATTCCCCATTTTGTCGGCTTTAAAAAAGGAATAATTCAGGAATTGATGATATTCATGGAAATAAAACGATTTATTATTAAGGGCTTCTGAGCCTCTTTTAACATTATATATGAACATGAGCCTCTTTTAACATTATATATAACATTGTATATGAACATTATTCAGATGCCTCAGAATATATGGTATAAACTTCTAGGACGTGTTTGGGGGTAGAAAATTATCACTTTTTGTCAATAAATATATGGTGGAAAATTATAGTCCATTACAGTTAAATTTGCCCCAGATTTTGAGGCAACCATTCATGTAGATGTGTTCAGTAGGTCACATTCTAACGCAGTCAACGAGATTTAATGTTCCTGCCGTGTTTCCATGGATATGCGGTTGCCTAAAAATCAGTGGCAAACGTTACATGTATAAACCCATAAAATTCTGTTTAAATGCAAATTCTCATTATAGGGACTTTGACGAAGAGTAATCATTTTCGGGTGGCTCTGGGTATCAACTGATGTCACTGCAGTGCCTCTGTTTGGGAGGTTGTCGGTTCGAGTCCCGATAGTGGACTGATTTTCGACTCTAGCTACCTAGCTAGATCGCATTCAGTCGCTGTCTGGAGGAGAAATCTACTGGCTTTCACCGGCTGCTCTAAACGGAAGTTTTTCCGTGGTTTCTCGGATCAACACCAGGCGAATGCCGGAGCAGTACCCTACCAAACGGGCCATGAATCCCGCGTATCTTACCTGCCTCTTCCTAGCCCTGTCCTCGCCCATTACACACACTTACGCATACAGGCTCTACACCACCACCCATGTTGAGAGACCGGTCGGGAACTTAGCTTTTACCTGCTGGGGCGGTTCCCTGCTAATGGGAGATTCCTGGTTGGGACATGTGCGTCGCAGACGGGATCTCACCATCCATCGAGGAAAGATTTCCGCCACCTCTCGAGGAAAAATGTACTTCACTTACGGGACGAATAGCCTTAGCCGTTGACGCGCCCGGAAGCAATGAATGAATGAATCGACACCTAATATTTTGTGTTACTCATTCGGGTACCGCCTGCCGTTTCGCAAACCCGCCCTGAGCATGAGCGCGTGCGCGTGTGTTGCAGAACCAATCGACGGACCCGCGGCGCGTGGCGGTGACGTGCGTGCTGCTGGCGCGGGCAGTTGATTGCCGCGGCGGCCACGCGGCGCGCCTCAAGCGCGAGGAGGGCACGCTCATGATGCGCGGCGGACAGCGTGAGTACCACACATAGCAAATGAAGCGCTCGCCAAGTCGCTTTTTATTTCGACATGTGGATATTGATTTAGGTTATATTGTTGTGATGAAACGTGTATGAGATTTTATATGTTATAGAGGCAGCTAGAGATATGAGTAAAGGACTGTTATAAAGACCCTTATAACGCAAAATCCATTTTAGTACAAACTAGTATTGAAATTACAACTGTGATTAATATTTGGAAAATCAAATGTTCAGTCACGAAGTAGACTCATTTGCATGTACTGTCGCTGTTCAGAAATCATCGGATAGTCGCATGCGTTCCAAAGATTGTAAATATCCAGATATATGTCAGTAATTGGTTTAATTGGTTTTCTTGTCAGCTTTCTTACACGAAATGTGAATTTAATATTTTTGCGTTTCACTGCCTCACGAAAAGCAAGGAAGTCGAGTTTTTGAGATGTCATTCAGTTCAGACGTCTACTTTGTGACGTCAGCTGAGTACACAGATTCCTCACGTGAGCTCTACCAGACGGCACCGCCCCCCCCCCAAAATATCAATTTGTCCCAGCAAGTGACAAACGAAGTTTATGTCTAGGTGCGTAATTTATGATTTATGAGCTTTGAAATGTTAAAATAAAAGAATTCAAAACAACGAAATTGGGGGAAAATTCACAAGAACTTTCATACGATTTATTCAGACTTCGATAGAGAAGATGGTCTTTATTTTTCTAGTCACTTCCTGGATTTGCCCAACTTTCCCTCGTGTGGAGTCTTAACGTTCCTCTAGGGAGATTACCCAAGACCTTGGCAGGTAGTGTTTTGAGCGATAGCTCCCTGCTCTATCAGCATTTGCTCCATGATAAGGTCCCTGAGATGTCATTCGAAACATTTAGTAGGTTATCACAGTAGAACATTGCTAATCGTCGATTAACTGAATTTGGATCCCATCCGGATTGTCAAATTATTCCGAGTTTTTTAATAAACTTAAAAAGAGCCGGTAAACGTCTACAACGTAAAAAATATACTCGTTCATAATTCTCAATACGTTCTGTTGGTTAGAGAAGTAAAGTAGATGAAAAAAAACATTAATGTAGTAAGTTTTTGACTTACTTTCAGAAAATTCAATTTCATTTTCTGCAATCTATAGGTTTAATGAAATTATTAAATAGTGTCGCCAGCTGTGAATAAACATGTTACTGTATTAATTCTATGCTACTGATTTCCCCACAATCAAATGCGGTTGATTGACGGTCCGGAAGTTTACGCTATTGTACATTGAAATAATGTCATCTTTCTGTTCAATACTTTAGGGAAATTTATTGTAAGAACCGATTATAAGAAACAATCCACATACCCTCCCCCTATTCGTACTGAATGAGGTAACTCAGGGCATCAACTGATGTCGTCGCAGTGCCTCAGGCCGGAGGTCCTAGTGGTCGAGGTCAGACGTTGCCAGGATTTTCGGCACTAGGTAGACAGCGAAGTCGAATTAAAGCGCTGCTTGGAACAGAATTTTAGCGGCCCACTGATCTGATCGAAGTTTTCCGTGAATTCTCGGATCAATATTAGGTGAATGCCGGAGCAATTCCCTAACAAACGGGCCACGCATCGCATGCGATCATTCCTTTCTCGTCGTTGTTATATCCTCGCCTGTTACTTGCACACACTTACATGCACAACACTACCACACATCGGAACCTCGCTCTGCAGCTTAGAGCTTTTTCGACGAGGCGGGAACCTCTAGTGGGAGATACCTGGCTGAGGAAAAGCCCGCAAGTGGACGGGTAGGTCGGCGCCAAATGTCGCCCACCAGCAGAAGAAGAACGATGCCACCTCCCATGATAATGACGCGCCCAACACTCACAGGGCTAATGTCCATAGCAGTTGTCGCACCCGGAATCACTAATCAATCTTATGGCAATTGTGGCGAGGGAAGGCGCGTATGCGGGGTGTGGGGGCGTGCGCGAGTGCATGTGTGCTGCGCAGGGGAGAAGATCCAGCTGCAGGCGACGGCGGCCGAGTACCTGGGCAAGGTACGCCCGGAGGGGCTGGTGCGCGTGTTCGCGCTGGCGCGGGTGCAGGAGACGCGGCAGGCGTGGGTGCAGGAACGCACCATCCTGCTGCGCAAGCCGCGTATCTCTGTGCAGGTGAGCTCATCTCTCACCCGTCACCGACAGGGAGCTACACGGCGGCGTTTGGTTGAAGAGGTTTAAAGCTGCAATGAATCCTGACGTTCCTCCCCCCACATTTAAGTGGGGTCTTTCGGTATCAGAGACCTACAAAACGTGTTTTCCTGTGGAAAAATCAGCACTTTTTCTGCAGCATTACAATATATTTTCTATTCTATGTGTATGAAAATGTTAAATATTGATGCCTAGAAAATCAGATTTCGTGATATTTCTTGACGATTGATTAGTACTCGTTGCTATGTAGACTAACATGTTAGTGCATATTTATGCATACTTGGCCTATTTTTCTTGTTGATGCATATTCGTGTAATTATAAGCGCATATTTTACATATTTTTGTGAAATAGTGAATTATTTCTGAAACGTTTCATATTTTCGCAGAATCTATTTATTTGTGAGCTTCCATTGATTACAATGAGCTCGTCACAGTTTGCGGTTGTTTTCTTTTCTACAGATGATAAAATATTTTTACAAATATCATCTTTTTTAAACCAGGCAGAAGAAATGCGACACGACGTACCATGTACTCCCCTAAGCTGAATATTTACTTCAACTATTTCTCCCGCGAAGTAAGGAAGTATTATGTTTGCACAAAAATATATTGTTTCATTCCACGCATGCTTCTCCTGAATTTTATCAAGAAAGGTTTATACGGAAGTGAAATATTTTTAATTTTATTACATATTGAAGTGCATATTTCAGTATTTTTAGGTCGTAAATGCGTATTTTAAGTTTTTTAGGGCATAAATATCCTCTCACTAATTATTATTATTATTATTATTATTATTATTATTATTATTAACTTTTACTCAGCATTTGCTGGGTGTGCTTGAACAGACAATATGTCAAAGACAATCATTCTCATCTCCGAAGACCTTTTTTGAAATAAATCAAGTGTTCAGTATAAATAACCATTTGCGGAATTTATTTTTAACTCGACAATTTCCAAGAGTTTCTTCGGGTTTTCGGAAATGTATTCTGGAAATGAAATGAAGATATGTCTAAAAGAAATCTCTTCACTTTCCAGAGGTTTATAAATTTCATCTTCTGTATCCTTGTTTTTACTTATCTCATTGCTACTTAATATTTTGAGACAATGAAATGACTATGTTGATAAGATGTACATATTTTTTCTTGTCTAGCCCGGAGATGTCCGGTCTATTGGCTGTTATGGTGATATCAGCCCCTATAGTTTGAAATTATTGTTATCAATTGGCGATGACTCTTCATGCTGTCATAAGGTGTTGCTGATGCTGTGCCTCCTGCTAAATTTTGAGAAAGATTTTTGCTACATTGTTGTCTCGTCAATTATGTGTTTGCAAGCGTACGACAGGATCCTATTGTGTGTTATTATGTTTCTGATCTATAATATTATTTTCATTCGTCTAAGATTATTTTTATTAATATGAACCTCCAATAATTCTTGTATGTATTACTCTCTATTGAATCGTCGTCATAAACCCTGTTGTTTCGTGTACGAGGTTTCCATTCTTGAGACAGTATCGTGTTCCTATCTGGTCTCTGAATCCTTCGTGCAATTAATCCGCGAATGTGCCATGCAGTTCTTTATGTTTCCAATTCTTTTTCTGATCATCTGATATGCTTTCTGGTACACAGGATTTATCTGGCTAGTGTATTGGGATTTTGTCGATGCAAATGGCATTATACATGCTATTTTTGTGAAAGTAATATCTGAAATCATTCATGTGTGTTCTGTGAAGTCGTGGTGTGTCGGGGATGTCCATCTTTGAATGTAGGGAGAGTCATCTGCTCTGTAGCTGATTTCAAAACGATAGAAATGTGTGACAGAATCACAGGGTTAGTTATCTATCTCTTTATTATTTATCACACTCACATTTCTATTCTTCCCTGCAGCATTTGATTTACACAATAGTATCGATTTAATTTTGTCCGTGCGATCTTGAAAATCTCAATCTTAATGTTACTTTTATCCAAATCCTCATTCACTCGGTTTGTAATGACTGTCAGATATGTTTAGACACTGGGTTAACAAGTGATTGTATTAAATTTTACCTAGGTCGGCAGTCTGTTGATTTTTGTGTAGCAGAAACGTTTTACCCACGCTTGAGAAATGTATTGTTATTGTATTGTAAGAAATGTAGCAACGTATGGTTGTAAATGTAATGGCATCTCTGTAGAAAGGAACTAAATTTTTGCATGCATATGACAATTGCTTAAATCAGTTATTTTGAATATGATCTGGTCTGAAGCTTTGCAATTTGGCGTCTTCACCTCACGCTTTCGCATCATCTGTTCATTCAATTGTTCCCCATCTTTACTCTCTTCTATAAACATTTTAATATGTCATACTGAAGTGGCTGTTCTCGCATGGCGGACCAGATATCTGTAATTAATATGCCATCAGGTTGATTTTGACTTCTAACGATACTTGTGCTTCTCGCGCTTTTCAATTTCCTCTAAAATTTAGTGTTTCTGGAATTCAGTATTTCAATCAGTTTGACACGCCTGAAAGTATTATTGTAATAAACTGGCAATTGTTGGATGGTTTTGTCAAGATGATCAGTTCGGATAATGGACATTAGCTGTTTCAGTGCTGTGGATCTTATGATTATGATTATTATTATTATTATTATTATTATTATTATTATTATTATTATTATTATTGTTGTTATTATTATTATTATTATTGTTGTTGTTGTTGTTTTTACATAGCAGTAATGTATTTAAATATTAAAGACAATCATACCTCACGAATTTTTTAATGCAGAATTATTTTTCTGGCCTAAATGTACTAAAAACATAATGTTTGGCGCCACAATGTGGCCGCATCGTCGGGGAATCTGAGATGAAGTAGTCGTAGCAATTGAAACTCTGTGCTAAATGTGTGCCTTGTGGTGCGCAGCCGCGCAGCCCGGCCGTGGAGGGCCGCGAGGTGACGCTGGCGTTCACCTTCGCCAACCCGCTGGCGGTGCCGCTCACCGAGTGCTCCTACCGCGTCGAGGGCTCCTCCTGCCCGCCGCGCGCCGCGCCCTTCAGGTGAGGCGATGCTCCAGCACCCCCCACCCCCCCACCCCCCACCCCACCCCAAGCCGCCACACACAAACGCCACTCGTCCATCAATTTGCTTCTGAAGCACTATCAATCCTTTTACTGTGTTGTGCGCTGAATGCGCAATGTAATGCAAGTCGCATGAATGTAATTGTGTGCCACTTTTTCTGCCTCTCTTCGTTCAGTTCCATTCACTTCCGGTTCCTCTTTTCTTTCGTACTCTCTATCGTACCTCTCACTTTCGTTTGCGCACCGCGCGTCCGTGTCGTGCGAGCGCGTGCAGACGGTTACACCTGGGTACCCCCTCTCACAGCGCGGCCACGCACAATGATGAGCCAACAGCGTGGACCGTACTGTGCTATAGACGGGCACAGCACACACACATATCGGCCTCCGGTAGCTCAGGCGATGTAGCAGAGGGCTACTCAAATAAAGGGCTGGAGACCACCTCGTACGAGGAAATGAGGGATCGCCGAAATGAATAGAAAAGCGAATAGCTTAAATATTAATTTAATTCTGACTGTGCCTCTTGGATTAATAAAATGTAAACTTACAATCTAAGAGAGACATGGAAAAACAAAACAATTATAAAACTACTATATACAAAAGTGCGTGCCGGCCCGAGCGGTGAATTACTACAAAAAAGTTTTTAAGAAAACTAAATCTAAAACTTAATCAGTACCTTTACAATGAAGAATTATTCTAATTGACACAAAATGACTTAATCCAATAACTGATCGTTGATGATGAAGAAATAGTTCATCCGATAATGTTGATTAATGGTTCCATTGCATGGTATGAACTTGAGAAGCTTGGCTCTGTAACTCAGAGGCAGAAACAGGTACCTGCTATTTGAAGCGCTGAGCTCGACCCATTTCTCGCTGCGCGGAGTCGCTGAACACGTACAGTGCGCCTCTGAGCGAATGCTGCAAGCCCCCGGACGCGATGACCAGGCAATGCGCGCTGTCTGGTCCAGTTTATGTGGGGTGGACAGCCTCAACCCTGAGTGAATGCCGAGATGGGCGCCCTGGGTCGACCATCGCTATGCGGGCAGTCTGAGCCTGAATATGTTGACATGTGTCAGGAGCGGAGCAAGACGTGACAAGATGCGTGCTCACGTGCCTCGCCTTCACATGTTTCACATCTCTCATGAAGTCTGTGTGTCTCTGCCCGGGCGCGGTTGTGCGCACGAATAATATAACCCCGCCCCTCCCGGGACGGGGTGGCTACCACGAGTGTGTGGGGGGGTGCCGTGGAAAAGGCTGCCGAAAACCTCAGAGACCACCAGCGGGCCGCGCGGTGCACATAGCCGAGCCGCTGGCTGGGGTGGTCGCAATTCGCGGAAGGCGCAAATGGGTGTCATAAACCGCACATGCCGACAAGGACGCGGCGTCGTGCCTAAGAGGTGGCAAAGCCGGCGGTGCGTGACAAAGAGACCGATTTGCGCCTTCGCTGTCGCGGCGGGCCGAGCGGAGAGGGGAGGGGGCGGCGCAGGTGGTTGCAAACCACGTGCGTGCGTAAACACTTTCTCTTACTCTGTTTTTCTACCCCTTTTTCCTTTCTCTCCCTTACGAAGGTACTTCAAAAGAAGAGAAAATTATGTAACCGTGAGCCGGAAAACGGCGAATTTGCGGAAGAAAACTTTTATTGCTGGGCCCTGGTAAAGTAAAAGGGGATAAATCCAGTTGCTCAATATAGAAAAAATCCTTTAACAGGTCGTGTAACTACATGAGATGTAGTCCTTAATACTGAAAAATAGAAGGGGAGATGCAAAGACAGATGTTTTGCCTTTATGGTCAACGCTAGCGCCTAAATCGTTGAGCCGAATTTCTCCAAAATTGGTATTTCCTGATCAATGTGAATGAACTCGACACTTTGGGACTTTCAAACGAATATTTTTTTTTTGGTGGGGGGTACTTTCCACAAAGTGAGCATTTACCTTTCTAAGCGTCAGCCGCCAGTTCTGTGCCGTAGTGGTATGAGTGACGGCGCGTTAACTGTCAGGATCTGAGTTCGGGTTTCGGAACGGAGAAACATTATTTTGGTTGTTGAAAACGCTTTTTCAGGTTAATGTAGAAGTATAACATAGCGGAGCAGTTAGAATGCGAGATAGTATGTGGTTTTGTAGCACCTCTAATTTCTGTCTCTATTTCTGTCTGGGTATATCTTTCTTTTGCTTTCTATTTATCCCTTCCCGTCTCTTCACGAGTGTTTCTCTCTTTCTGTTCATCTCTTTTTCTTGCTCTTCATCTCTCCCGGTCTCTCCACGAGTGTTTCTGTCCGTCTCTTCTTGAATCCCCCTCTCCCTGCCCGCGGTGTGCGGGGCCGGCGTGAGGGCGTGCGTGAGCGCGTGGGTGAGCGCGTGCGTGTGCGTGTGCGCAGGGACGTGCTGCCGGGGGAGGTGGTGACGTTCGAGGAGACGGTGGTGCTGCGCCAGCCGGGCGACCACCGCCTCACCGCCAGCTTCTGCAGCCGGGAGCTGGGAGGCGTGGTCGGGCGCGGCGTGGTCCCGGTGCAGGCGGCCTAGGCCCTCACACCTCGCCGCTCCCGCCGGTGAAGGAGGGGCCGCGGGGGGCAAAGCCGTGTGCAGTCAGGGCTACGTCCACGCGATGTGTCGTGAGTGCGGCGCACGCCACCATGCGCGCTCATCTTCTTTGCCGTTCGGTTGGTCACCCGGCGCGCATGGAATGTGTATTGCCGTTATTGTGATCAGGAGAAAGAACCAACATAAAAATCCAAGATGAGGAACAGGTCTTTTGCTACATGTTTAATTTTAATTTACATATTGCGAAACGCATCCACAACATACGCATGATTCAGTACATTCTTCTTTTCCAATTACATAACCTCGTCCTCTAGAACTATTCCATGAATTGTGAGTATTTTTTTCTGAAAGCGGACGTAGGAAACAGGGTAGCGTTGCTTCCCAAAACAAGTCAACGCGTTCATTGAAGTGCTCATCAACCCATATTCCATAGCAGACGCCAACAATTATTACAATTTGTTATCGGTTCTGCTAGAATATCATAAAATGCACGTTCGTTTCTTTGAACGATACCGGTTTCTACAAGAAAATGCACGGATGGACGCGCGACATTTCTTTCTCGCGTGGGAAGCCCAGTGCTGTTGCATTCGTCTTCCAAAAGAAGCTATGTCGAATCGCTGAATCGTGTGCGCTGTTGCACGTACTTGACGCATGCGCGTTAATGAACCAAAGACATCGAGTGGACGTAGCCAAAGAGTATTTCAGCTGTTCGCTTCAGGGTGGGTCTCTGCTTTCTTCGCCTTCGTACTGCCTTAATCCTTGCGCCTTTTCACGTTTTCTCTCTTTGTCTTTATAGATGCAGACTGACGTTACGCCTTTGGAAGTAATCAATTCCAACCTCTAGATATACTGAACCCATCTGCATTTGAACTTTTGCATTTTGTAACCAATGCGTCTATTCTTAGGTCTTTGTTATCATTTATTTTCTCTTTTTTTTTCTAGAATATTTTTACGCATTTCGTTGCAATTTTCATGCAGCTGCCTTTGTTTTCTTGTAGATGGCCAGCTTCTACGTTTGTAGAGAAAACGCATGGATTACCATAGTATTTTAGAATTTTTTCCTAAATCGGGTTTGGTTTTATTTTTTGAGATATAAGTGTAATATTTTATATCTGCACGAAGTCTTACGTTTTTCTTGAGTTGCTATTTTAAAACACACACACACACACACTCACTTCAATTTAGAATGCTTAGAAAGCTATAAGATCGGAGAAAATACTATTTAACACATTTTAATGATTACATGCTTATTTTGTAATAAAAAGTTTATATAAATATAAAGAAATATATAAACCTTAAAATGAACTTTCTCTATTTAATTTTTTAATTAAGCTATAAATTTATTGAAATAAATTTTATTTATTCCAATAAATTTTAAATATGACGGATAATATTCAATAATCATCAATATCTAAATTAATTATTAAATATATTGAATTGATTATTGAATTGATGAATATAAAATTCTTGGAATTTATTGAAAGAATTAACAATTATTTCAGTAAATTTCAAAAATTAAGAAATAACCTTACAACTTTCTCCCCTCTGATGAATTAAAATTATGAAATATATTTATTTAAAATTTATTAAATTAAACTGATAGTAGACCGAGGATTTTTTCATCTACAACTCTTCTTTTAACTTTGCAACGGAAAGTACTGCAAATTATTGTCTCGCAAACAAGAAATACAGTACGAGTAACAGTAGTATAATTTGCTCACTGTTCAGCTTAATTCACAAGAGTTTGACCAGCGGAGGAGTTTTAAACGAGACAACAAAGTCACACACGAGCTAACATACTATTTCTCTGTACCCGAAACAAAATGTTTAGGCACTATAAAAATGTCCTGAAGAGCGTTAATTTAGTACATCAAATTGATAACTATTTTCGAGTATTCACGTCAAAAGGTCATTTGTAAAAGTAGTTTACCTAGAAATCTAAGGTCTACTAATATAAGATAATATTTATTAATATTTTATCTTAATAACATTTATTATTAAGATAAAAATATATCGCAATGAAATATTTTCCTTTTATTTTAACTCTGTGCTTTCAAGTTATTCAAACTTGTGCTTTCAAGTTTATATTTAGTTAATGACAAATTCTTTCAAATAGTTTGTAAATGTAAATTGTACACCCTTGGCTCGTTCCCATTTCCATAATTGTGTGCTGCCGCTGCATATTCTGAGTGATTCTTGTACTACTTTCCATTTACTTATGATATCTTCCACCATCAATCTTGTTTGTTTCTGTGCTTATGTGCCACATAATGACTTTCATTTTATTTCAGTGGAATGTTATTGGAGATCTGATCCAGTGTGGTTTGCTAAGGCATTTATGCGGTCGAATGTCGGAAATACAGGTCTCTTCTTTTCAGCACTAGCTTTCTTAAACGAAAACCACTCAATTCAATTAGTTTCTCATGAAGTACGAAAAAGTTAAAATTCTGTTTTTATTGAAACCTTATCTAATGATCAGAAATGGATCATAGGTAATCTATGAAATTCAGTTTATTTTTTACCACTGCTCATTCGCTTCTGTTATCTTAAATAAGGTTGGTAACATCAGTCTTCTCCCTTCCGTATGATTCAATTTATTGTATTACTTGTATTCTACACAATGATTTGAATTTTTGTTCTAATTTTCCGAATGTGATATCCCACAATTTTTTTAGAGAGACATAATTTATATTTTTTTCAGTCTGGGAAAAGAATTCCCAAACATTTTTTTCTGTTCATTGTCTGGAAGAAATATTGACAGGTAACGTCCTCACGGACCAAAAATAACATTTTTTACTATCGTTGAATTAATCGCGTGTCATTAAAAACATTCTTTCTAGAGCATTTTCAATTATTCTCAACTACCTCAGGATGCAGAAAAATGGTTTCTGTATGTAATTAGAAGAAAAGCGAAAGTAGTATTTATAAAACAGTGATGAATTATACAAGAAGAAACAAACAAACAAACAACTTTTATAAATTCAAAGATAATAATTTTTATTTGGATATTTTATGCATGTTGATTCATTAATGTGTGCATTTTCCCAATACATGTAGGCAATGTTCCTGTCGGCAGCAGGGATGGCTCCAACAGAAGTCTCAGAACTCAACCAGCGCTGTAGTTATTGCAAAACAATTACAATTTTTAACCAGTAATATTTGCATATATGTACAACAGTATTATTAGTTACTTATGTTATATCATATGCGTACCGTAGAGAAATATTATGATCATAAAAAAATTGATCGCGATATTTTGATGAGAATACCCATTGAGGTCTGTGACCGAAATATTGTTTTTCGAAAACATCTCCCTCCTTTTTTGGACTAAGCTCAACTCGAGTTCTTAAACTTCATTTTACGGTTTTTACAGAGTGTTCTACTAATGATCGTCAACTAAACGAATTTACTGAAATATCATTCTAAAATCTAAGCGAGAAATCTCTTTTCAGACGATCTGTACGGGATTTGGTTTCTATATTGGCTGAGCCTTGAGTCAGAACTGGCAGGTTACCTGATTATAATGACGAAAATATGGTCTTAAACGCTAGAAGAAGTAGAAATGGGGCCAAATAAGTGCACTTTTTGATCCTCTGTAAAAATTACCATGAGGAAGATAATCTCGATATTCCAAGTGAAGTGGTCCAGGAATTCAAACATCATAATCTAAACATACCAAGACATCCGTTTGAAGTCGGGCCAATTCAATTTTACTTTCTCATAGTTTAGAGACAGTTATGTAATGCTGCGAAAACTCGATTTCCATATTTCAATGGAAATATAGGTTTGGGAGGCCCCAGATACCGAAAAAGTCTTGTTTTTTCTCGAAACGTCCGCCCGTTCCTACGTCCGTCTGTCCACCTATTTGTCATCTGAACAACACTAGCATTTTGTATTCTTTTATTTGTTCAAAAAGTACAGAAATATACTATTTTTGAAATATCTTTCACTCCGTTAATATTTACATTACCAGCAATTTGTATGCATGATTGTGTTTGTGTGTACAATTGTTTAAAATAGTTTCATATTGAATTCCTGGAAAGTTAAAAGTTTTGGGTGAAAATGAGCTTCAAATATCGCATTTTCAGAAACGCTCAAACCATATTTGCTCTAAAACGGATCCACATTTTTCAAAGAAAATTGTCATATACGACGTGGTTTTACTCTTTTATTATTATCGTAAAGTTATGTTTCACTTTTATCATTATTAGACCGATAAATTGAGAAAATGTGAAAACAATATTTTGGTGGCAATAGATGGCAACTGGAAAGAGGCTGGGGCAAAATCGAAAAGCTAGTGGAGACCAAATAATTTGAAAACCAACTAGTACGAGAAAGTTTGTGCCAATCTGTAGCACACTTAGTTCTCATTTGTTTTTTTAAGAGGACAAAATAAGTTGCACGAGAAACAAGAGTTTGATAGAAAAATTCAATTCGGTGTTCGATACAGAGAAAATTAAATGTAATTAATTGTGTGATTTTGTCTTCTCTAAGCTTCACGGCAAAACTATGGTTCCAGCTCACTTACATTCAATCAATTATAAAAAAATCAGAAAAGCTGTTTAGTTTGCAGTATATACTTTGTGTCAATTCCATATATACAAACATCTTATAAAAAACGTTGAGTATTGTTTCATTTACATCAATTAGTATCTCGCTAATAAAAATGCAAATTCTTTTATAGATAATAAACTCTAGGAAAAGAACCTTAAACACTTTGACGGGAAATGCTCTCCAATAATCACCACTGTCCAAGATTACATGACAGCTAGAAATTTTGTAGTTTACCGATTTCCACGTCACTCAAAGTCCTCTATTACGTTCCGTTTGCGGTGCACGCTGTGAAAATGTAAGAAATTGCAAAGCAGTCAGTGTGTAATTTTTTTTACGGTTTCTTAAAAATCCAATATACAATCATGAAAACACCATTCCAGGAAAATAATAACGAAGTGTGGCACGTCACGTATGCGAAGGAAAACAAGTTCTTGGATGAAATTATAACCCATATACTTTCTATAATTATTTTGGCATGACCGTCCCTAATGCAATTATTATAAACTGAAGTCTCTACCCTATTTACAAGTAGGGAAGATGTATTGTTTGACTATTGGTTTGATAAACTCAGAAAAGGGGATTAAAATCATATTTTTATTAGGAAATCAGTGTATTATTTTATAATTTTAACTGTGAATGTTCATATAGGTGTTGTGGTAAGATATCTTTGGCATTTTAAAAATAATTAAAGATGTTGTCATTGCCAACAATGTTTTTTAATTCAAAAGCAGCTTTCGATGGCTTATCCATCATCATCAGTTGTCTGATACAAGAAGAAAAACACAAAAAACAAAAACATTAAAACGTGAATTAACAACAAGATTATGATAAAAGTTACAATAATTTACAATTTTTTTGGAAAATATATTTGACAACGGGAGAAAGAAAAAGTGGGGGGGGGGTTAAGCCATTATTCGCTTTTCTTTAGTATTAATGGCTTAACCCCGCCCCCCCCCACTTTTTCTTTCTCCCGTTGTCAAATATATTTTCCAAAAAAATTGTAAATTATTCTAACTTTTATCATAATCTTGTTGTTAATTCACGTTTTAATGTTTTTGTTTTTTGTGTTTTTCTTCTTGTATCAGACAACTGATGATGATGGATAAGCCATCGAAAGCTGCTTTTGAATTAAAAAACATTGTTGGCAATGACAACATCTTTAATTATTTTTGTGAATGTTCATTCCAATACTTATACATCAAATAACTAGAAATTATTTACAGACTGTTTAAAAATGTTTTAAGGCACTTCTGACAAGACTTACCAAACCAATATTGGGTAAGTGCATATGCGCTCATGACGTAATTGGTGTCTACATCGTGTAGGAAGAAGATAAAGAAGGATTACATTCCGGAGAACTTACCACTTAAAGAACGGAAACATACTGTCCCACATTCCATTTAAGGTAATCCCAATATGCCAGTATTCTTTGAGATACAAAAATGTTTGAAATAGCTTGGTAAACATTACATATATTTCTTTGGTGTTGCGATAAAATAGGAAATCGTAAAAAGAAATCTATTGGAAATCGAAGATTAAAGATTTAATGATTTTTTTAAAAATTGACCTATGTTGGTGGAGCGTTTAATTAAATGCTCTAGACATTTTGTTCTCATATTCATATCTCAAAACCCGCATGGAAATTATTAAAAATTTTCAAGTTAACATGTTTGATTATTTGAAAAAGAAGAAGATAAAATAATGTTTGACATCAAGCATTTCTTAATTATTCTTTGAAAT